ACCTCTTAAGATAATTGTTTTCAAAATTATAATACAAGCTTTTCTGAACTTTCAGTATGGGCACTGATTTATGCTGTCCATGATTTCATTTCAGCTCTGTTTCACACTGTGTTAATTTTCATTAAGTTCATTATGTCTGAGACCTCTTAAGGGATTTATTTAAAATTCAGCTCTTGATTAGACCCATCTTGTATACTTTTCTGCTGGAACAATATCCTTTTTTTGTCCCAAAGATAACAAGATCTGAGTTATGGTAGTAAGGCTGTTCCTAAGAGTGTCTGCATTAAGTCTATTAGCAATATTAATATGTTGCTGTAATTATTTTTTGATGCATGTAAAACATATAAGATTTGATGAGGTAAATCCTCATCAAAAGATAGATTTAACACAAGTAGGTTAGTGAAATAAATCTTGATTAGACAGTTCTCATATCACACAGTTCATTCTTTTATATAATATACAGGATTAGGTGAACTTGAAAATAAGAAGTCAATATAATTTTAAAGGATTTAGGGAGTCGATTCATCAGAGAGCATAGCATGTAGTTGTTTAATTTAAAAAACAGCAGTTTGCAGACTGGTGTAAAGCTCTCCCTAAAGCTATTAAATGTCATATTGACTATACAGTTATCAGTATGAAAAGTAGCCAGCAAAATAGATATATCTTACTAGAAAACACAACTTTGCATTACTGTTGTTATTGTTGATGATGATGATTCTCGTTTTATGCTCCGATGTAGAACATCTTTAATGGAGCAGAAATCTCACTGCCACAATTTTTAAGGAAAGGTCCAAATCTTTCCCTTCTCTCCTTCCACCAAATCCCACCCCCCTTAAGAACTCCCTAAATAAACACATTTGCCTTAATCCAGCTAGGGCCCATAATCATACAGGAACAGGTTTATGAATCAACCAGTCATTTTATTTGTATGCCTCCTTTCCAAAGTCAAAACCATACACAAGATGACTTAAAACATAAAAAATTACATATTTACAAAACAAAGGTAGTCCCAAACAATAAAATATCAAAAAGTACAAAATCAAATTGAACAATTTCCACACAAATTACACACAAAACACAAAACAAAGATACAAAAAAATTAACATCAACAATGGCAACAATCCCTACTCCAAGACTCCATTCAGCAGCCTCAGAACTTGCAGCTGGAGTCAGTTAAGGCCCTGCCCTCCCAGGCCAGGTAGAAAAAGGCCTGAAGGCAGGAAGCAGGTCTTCCAGGACTCACAGCCAAGATGCCTATCCATAGCTGGAAGGAAGGAATTGTCTGCACAAACACAATGGAAGACTACATACTCCTACATTCATTCCAGGCATATCAGGGAAGGCTAGGAATGACTTCTGCAAAATCACAGATAGAATTGCCACCCGTCCCTATAAAAAAGTGATTGTCCTTTTTTTTGGACAAAAGTGTCCCTTGGTGTTATGTACTAAGCTTGGATCCTAGAACAATAGGCAAGTAGGATCCTAGAATGCAACAACTGATTGGCTTGCAGGAAAAGACCAATCAGGCTCCAGGAGGAAGTTAATCAGCCTATTAGGCGGGTAGGAGCATAGAATGCAACAACTGGTTGGCCTGCAGGAAAAGACCAATCAGGCTCCAGGAGGGAAACAGAATCAGCCAATCAGATGGGACTCATTGTGTAAATCACAGATAGAATTGCCACCCGTCCCTATAAAAAAGTGATTGTCCTTTTTTTTGGACAAAAGTGTCCCTTGGTGTTATGTACTAAGCTTGGATCCTAGAACAATAGGCAAGTAGGATCCTAGAATGCAACAACTGATTGGCTTGCAGGAAAAGACCAATCAGGCTCCAGGAGGAAGTTAATCAGCCTATTAGGCGGGTAGGAACATAGAATGCAACAACTGATTGGCCTGCAGGAAAAGACCAATCAGGCTCCAGGAGGGAAACAGAATCAGCCAATCAGATGGGACTCATTGTGTAAATAATGTCTATAAAAGCCTGAGGTTGGGGGGGCAATTCAATCACTGTTTTACAAGCTGCAATAAAGAGCATGAAATCACTACAGGACTCTGAGTATATTTCACCTGTCCTGTTTGGACTTCAAATGGGAAGCCTTTGTTCACGTATTTGAGCTCCTCCTCACAACTGCATGGGCGGAGGGTGGGTCTGGTGCAGTGGCGTAGCATGGGGGGTGCAGGGGGGGCCGCTCGCACTCGCAGTGCTAAAATCAGTGCTAAAATCCACGGGTTAGGGGGCGCAAATTACTTACCTTGCCCCGGGTGCTAACAACCCACGCTACGCCACTGGTCTGGTGGGAGCCTGAGCGGAGTTTGTGTGGGCCGAGGGTGAGCCCATGAGGAGGAGAGCTGAGAGGGAGAGCAAGAGTTATTGTGGGATGTGGGCACAGGCTGAACTGGGGTTGGAAGGAGGAATTTGAGAGAGAGAGAGTTTTTGCGTGGGCAGAAACTCTGCAAAGAGGGTGGATTACTGCAAAGAGAGAGGGTTTGCAGTGTATGGACTGGCTACGGTGGAGTTTCATGTTTTGTGTGTGCAGGGGGCAGAAATAGACCTTCAAATGGAAGCCAGCCCTTAGAGACAGTTTCAGTTCAATCTTAGTTCAGCTTCTCCTCTCTTTTTGTACTGGAGAGATGTTGAAGGGTGTTTCGGAAGAGGCACAATGAGTTCTAGATGGATGTCTGATAGGAGCTGTTGATGTGAGCTCTTAATAAAGTAATATATATTTTCTGTTTCACTATCTTTAATGTCATTTTTCTTTTGTTCCAACGTGGGTGCATCGCTGTAGGATTTTTATTGCCGCTTTAGCCTTGTGTATTGTAAACGGCAAAGTAGACTTGTCATGATAAACTGTTGAGTGTCCCCGTGTAGCTGATGGTGATATTGACTTTCAGAGGAGTCTTGTTGCCATTGCCAAGTACAAGTGCCCCCTCCCCCCGCTGGGAAGCACACTAGTGTGCTAATGAAAACATACTCTCTTCTGGTTTTGAAAAGGCCTGGGCCTTTCTGCTTTCCCTTTCTGCTGACCATTTGCAGAAAGGGATGCTCCTAAGCATAGTTAATGTGCAGCGAAATGTGGGGCATTCCAATTAAGCTTCTGCAGAGTGTGGGTTGGTGCTGGGAGATGTACTTTACTGGAGTGAACAATTTCTTCATATAGATACATTTCTTATTGCAATTAGATGGAAGAGCAAGAGATTGCAGCATTGTGTCTGTTGTAGTCCTTGTAGCATTCAATGGGGTGGGGAGAGATTCATTTAACAGAATAGTCTAGGGCAATTTAAATAGGAGGGGGGTCACAAAAAGCAGTGATTTCTGCCCTTTGGTGTTCAGCACAATCGCCTGGATCCTCCATTTCAAGATGTGTTAATAAAGGGCAGGTCTCTGTAATCAGCTGTTTACAATATTCATGAATTAAGAGTGAATATCAGCAGTAAATCCTATTGTGTTCAGTAGGTCTTACTCCCAGGAAAGTGTGAACAGGATTGCAGTCAAAATGGCCTGATTACAGAACACAATGGATGAAAGGAATTTTCTGGGATGGCATTAAAACCTGCAAAAGCCTAAGATTATTGAGCATAATAATAGCAGTATATTTTTCTCAGTAATAAATCCAATGTGATAAACCAGTCCCCTTAAATAAGGAAGACATAATGCAACAACAGTTCTGGCCTCCAAACTGATTCAATCCAATAATATTTTTTTAGAAGCAAACCTAATTACAGTTGCGAAATATTTAGGATTTAATGATACCTTGATACAGATTGGATGGTGGCTTGCTTTCAAATGGGTAGCATGATTTGAAATGGTGGAAACCATGTCCTGGATTTGTAAAAATTTGTAAAGCTGGTGTTTCAGCTAACTACCTCAAATATATGGTGCCAAGATCCAGAAAAGTGGAAGTACCTTGGGAAATAAATGGGGAAGCTTTGTACATTCTTATCTGCAATCTTTTCAGAACAATATTGTTGGTCTTGTAAGAGCTCGAAAACTGTTCCTCTGAGGCACGATACACCACTCTGCGAAGTCCATAGGTACCCTGCCATTTAATTAAATGAGAAATAAACATGTCCCTAAGACCTTCAGAAACCTTGTGTCCCAATAGTGGTTAATAGCCTGTTTATGTTTAATCAGAATCTTCCAAGTATCCAAATAATGACTACAAAGGTTACTGAACATGCTGAGCTTGAGTTGGGGAATCATGATGATGATGGTGCCCACATTATTTTATGGGCCAGAATTAATGAATTTTTAGGTAGTCGCCAGTTCATGCAGGTAGAGTTCATCACACTCATAATGTACTGAGCCACACTTCTATAGACAGTGATCACACACTTCAACTTCATGGGGTGTTTTTAGAAGATAAGAAATAAACAGATATGACTCAAACTGCTGCCCGTGAACAGAAGACTCTCAGTGTATCTCTATATGAAACTCTATTTCAGAATCATTTAAAGAACCTGTTAGCTGTTTATGGGTTATATACCTGCTGTTTTATGAATATGTCACCATGATCACATTTATGGAAGTGGAACTATCTTTTGCCTCTAGCATTTTAAGAAACTTGTTTGAGCTTAACTTTTAAAAATGCACACGCGCACAGCTTGAATCCAGATATATTGCTGTGTGGGCAGGAGCTACTTCCACTCAAGAAAGAAAGGGTGTCACCAATTTTCTTCCTGTGGCCCCACTAAGGATGCTTCTGAGGATTACCGGACCTTTTGGAGCTAGTTTTCAGGAAGCTAAATATGTGAAAGGGGTTAGACACATGAGTGCCTTGTCCTCGTGCAGCAGGAAGGGAATATAGGAAGCCGCCTGATAGCAGACAGGTAGCCCCCTGTTTTCCCACCCAGCCCAGTATTGTCTATCTAACTGATAGCAGCTTTTCTTGCTGCCTGATCCATTGAACCAGAGATGCAAGGGCTCAATTCTGGGACCTTCAGTACCAAGGGACACAGGTGCCAGGTTCCACCAAACTTGGGGGCGGCAGCGGCGCACAACTGTGATGTCACATGGTGGCCAGTCACAGCTGCAGGTAGGGCCAGCAAGTCCCATCATAGCCACAGGAAGGTCAGGTGGGGCTTGCTGCAGGTCACAGAATATTGAGGGGGCCAGGCCCCCTCCTTGAAAATTTTGGGGACCCCTCGCCCAGAGTCCCTTCCCTTCAGGACCTATGGGTCAAAGTCCTTACGCTTTCCCACGTCCAAATTAGTTTCTAACACTAGAACACCATTTGTGTTTAGTTGAAAATAAGTCCCACTGAATACTCTGGGAAATGCTCTAAGTATAATTGCACAGGATCACAACCAAAGTCATTTTTGTTTTTACTTTCTAAGATAAGTACTGGGAGCTGTATTTAAATACATTAAAACCTATCTAACTTTAAATATGATAAAACCTGTGTAAACCCATTTTCATTGTGAGGATAAGAACATTAGCTGGATTATCTTTATTATAACTAATGCAGTTGTTAAGCAGATGGGTATAAGAACACATTTCAGAGCTTTTATGCCTATATTATGATTTATAGCATATGGAAAGATAACAATAGGCATACATGAATTGAATGTTTCTTGACTGCATATTGTTGTTGTTGTTTTAAAGAATTTAGATATAAGCATGTTATTTCAGAAGGTTCTCAGTATGGGGTTATGGAAATGAAAAGGTGAAGCTATTTCCATTAGAGCACTCCCTGGGGCCTGAACAGGTAAGAAATAGGTTCAGCCTTCAGTCCACTATTTCCACAACTGGGTTCCTTTACTTTGCCCCACATAAATAAATAGCTGTTAAGTTTCTCCTATGAGGAAAAGTAAACTCCTGCACTTGAGGGCTCTGTTGCAGTGAAAGCAAAACTCTGCAGTCCATTCGGGTGGCTGAGCCATCACTGGCAGGGATCCTGTATGGAGTGTAATGTGTACCTGTGTCAAGAACACACAGAGACACACTGCACTCCTCTAGAGCAATGGTCCTCCAGATGTTGTTGGACTCCCAAATTCCCTCAGTTTCAAACAGTGTGGTAGATGCGACTATCAACATTGAATGCGTGGAATAATAAGTTACTAAGTTATTAATTGGACTCAGACTCAGCGGTGCCCTTTCCATGTGAAGCTTCTGTGAGGAAGCTGGAGAGCTTTATTTTTCCATGTTGGCCTATTGCTAAATGAACTTCAGTTTATAATGTTTCAAGTTGACACCATTCTAAAGCACTATATCTAGTTTCAAAAATTAACTGTCTAATTTTATTTAAATATTTACACTCCCCATACATAATTGCACAGCCCTTTTGAATAATTTAACCACTTTAATAGCATCTGAAGAAAGTTTCTGTTTTCTCCTGTGTGTGTGTGCTTGCTGCGTTCCCATTTTAGTAGCAGCAGCAACACACAAACTGACCCCTCTTTATAATTTAATTGCAGTTCTTGCAGGCACCTGCTTTAAACATTTCTACCCAGTATTCTCAACTACACTTTAACAACACCCAGCAATCTTTGTGTCAGTAAATGTCAGACATTTTCCTCCCAAGCTTCCATTTTCCATTCTCAGTAAATATTCCCCTTCAGGGATTATCCTCTTCCGTTCATTATAAATCATGAAATAAGTAGCCTGTGGTGTCATGTTAACTAAACGGTTATAGATGCATCATCAAGTGATATATGATTTATGGGAAGACATGGTCCTGATGGTAAATATCCTTTAAGCATGTCCTTATACCTACTGCTTTACTATGGGCAAGTCTAAGCATTTTTTAAAAATCATAAATCAATACTGCAGAGTCATAAAATACAGTTTAAATCCTGAGATTTAATTCCATAAATAATAAAATCAAGTTGTTGCTTTTCTCCCTCCAGTGTCATCAGGGGAAAGCATTTTTCTTCTTACATGATTGCAAATTTTGGTGTATTGCTAAGGGACAAGAACCAGGTCTTGTGCAAAAATTGACAATACTGTCCCACCTGCTTCAATAGCTTATGTTGATATATGTTTCCACATTGGCCCCGTGTTAGGTACACTTGCAAATATCTATTCCGCCATGCAAAGTAGATCGGAAATGAGGCTTCTCACATGAGGAAAGTAATAGAATCAGAATAATAGACTACCTACCACTTGTTACAGATACATTAGTATTTTAATAGTTAATTCAGCACATCTTCTTTAGACATCATTTATTTGCAGGTTTTGAAATACATCTCTGCAGCGGTGTTTTGGCAGGCTAGCTTGATGTCTGTGAGATTATTAAGGGAATAGTACATTTGAAACGAATAAATTCACATGTAGAGCTATTAACTATTAATTTGGTCCTGACTAAACTGATGAGACATTCTTTGACTCATAGTGTAGCTCATATGTATCTAGTACTTAAGTACTCTCTATATATTAACACTGAGATATATCAAGATGATTCTTCCTGGGACTAGAAAGCAGCCTGCAGAATCACATCTGAGCTACAGGCTATACTGACAAATTCATTCTCGAAGTAGCTCGCTAGGACTCCTAGGAGTAGCACTGTCTGTTCATGGTATTGAATCTTGTCTCTGACACTTCCGTTGGCCTAGCACTTTTCCTAATTCCAGCCAGCCTAGCTTTTTTATTATTTGATCTGAATGCAGAAATAAAAGCTTTCTGGTTTTGTAATGGGAAGAGACACTACTCCTTAGCAAACTCGTTGATGTGGCATTCGGCCGATAAAAGTTGTGTGCTGAACTGGCAGTCTGAGACCATTTCTCATTGTTCCTTGGTGGGATGGTCACTTAATGATCAAATTAGAGCTCACTCAGCCAGAGCTGAGGCAAAACAACAAGCAACAGCTTCAAATAAGTCCTCCATTTTTTATTTACAGACCATCCGGGTGGAGTTCATTATGGCAAATCACCCAGCAGGATCCCCTTGACAGCATATTAAGAAAACAGAACTAAATTAGGGATGGTGGGTTGCACGGCTAAGCTTGTTTCCTCCTCAAAATATTTGTCGTCCCGCACCAAGCCCGGTTCTCCAAGCTGCCTCCTGTCTTATCCGGAGTGCGTCTGCTACCCAGGGAGGTGTCTCTATTGCTATTTGCTGCTGTGTTTGTATAACATCTGAAATATTTATGAAAGTTGAGACGTTACATATTTCAGAGTAGGATTTCACAGCTGCACATTCTTGGTTGGCAAATTCTTAACCAAGAATAGAAAAATAATAAATGTTTAGGCTTCTAAAAATGGCTTGCCTTGTGGGAATCTGTGTGTTTGAGTTGCAGTAGCTCGCCTGTCACTCAGACAGCAACCCAAATTGGAGTAGCAAGCAGCCGTAGCCTGACACGCACACCTAAGGGAGGCACTCAGTCACTCCATTTTGTGGTGACCCAGAGGAAGAATTTTCTGGCAGCCTGGCCACTTCTAACTTGCAGAGAGAAGGAGTCCTAAACCTGGACTGAAACTGCTCCACATCTGGCTAACATCTGGCTGGGTTTTATAGTGTCAAAATTGGGAATCAACCATGGTGTGTATTTCTTGGTCCTTGCATCCCCAAAAGTCACCTGAAGCATTCAAATAAATTTGACAAAGTTCTTGCTATTTTGTGACATTTTGATCAGTTCCTAATAAAGGTATTGGGTGGCCTACTTTACAGAGAACAGTCCTCCACATGAAGGCTGTCAGAGGACAGTCCTCTGTTCTAAGGACTTTTCATGTGTCCTTTATAAAGAAACATCAGAAGACAGAATAGGGGCTTTGAAGGGGTTCATCAACAGTTAACATCTGTGTAACAGACTGAGCTGGCACAAGGGGCCATCTGGTCGCCTCCACTGTGATGAGCTGTATTGTATTTCTGTTATGGTGGTACCTCAGGTTAAGTACTTAATTCGTTCTGGAGATCCATTCTTAACCTGAAACTGTTCTTAACCTGAAGCACCACTTTAGCTAATGGGGCCTCCTGCTGCCGCCGTGCCGCCGGAGCACGATTTCTGTTCTCATCCTGAAGCAAAGTTCTTAACCTGAGGTACTATTTCTGGGTTAGCGGAGTCTGTAACCTGAAGCGTATGTAACCTGAGGTACCACTGTACTTTAAAATTTGCATTATATATACATTGTTATTTGCAAATTTTGTGCAAAATGATGTTCTCTTTCCTCTTTTTCAGTAGGGCACTTCCTCCTAAGCCCTCCTCTTAAGCCCATTTTAAAAGGGTGCATTGTAAACCCTATTTGGGCATTAGGCCTGAAAAGAGAATATAAACCCTAACAGATGTCAGGGACCAGGAATCAGATTTGCCTTTGTTGAATGATAGAGCCAGGGATGTTAGAGCTGCTGCAAGTGGAATCCTTGATCTGCACCTTGTATAGAATAGAAATAAATTTGTGATTCACCACAGTAATGAGTTTCAAAACTTTACTGCAGAACATTCTTAAAAACAGTTGCAAATAAATGTTATAAAAATACAAAGTAGCAGATTGCTCTAAAAAGCAAGCAATGTGGTCTCATTTTCTTCTTAGTCCTTAATACTGTTCAATAAATGTGTTTTTTTTTCCTCTGGCCCCAGAGAAAGAGAGAGATGCTAAGCAACTTGTTTGTATCATCATCACAGAGCTTCCTCACTGGCTCCATCACTGAGGAGGAAGAGGTCTCAGGTTTCACCTTACTACTGTGAGAGACCTGCAGCTCAGGTTTCCAGCAATGATTCCTCAATTAGCCTAAAGACTGAAATGGAAACATCCAACATTTTCTACCGCATTTACCTAGAGTGAAACCTCTCATGCCTAATGCAAACTTCTCTACTTTGTGAATACAAACCTTTACATAAGTTTTTCCAAAAAAAACTTCAATGCATAAAAAAAATTCATTTTATGCATATTAATCTTTTATCTTTAACAAAGGAGCACTGCTAACAGATGAACCCACAGAGTCACTGCCCCCTCCACCTGAGCATGATGATGTGGCACTACCATCCTAGAGCAACTTAAAAGCTCCATGGTTTCCAGAAAACTGCATGAGCCTTGCCTTGCATCCAGCCTGAACCTTGCCTAACCTTGCCTTACACCCCAGTATGACTGTAGCACATGCTGAGGGCATTCATGGTGCCCCACCTCATAAGAAGAGTCTGCTGCATCAGCCCTTAACAGTGGCCAACTGGTGCCTGTAGGCAGCAAGCAAGTAGGATCTGAGCACAAGAGTGCTCTTCCCTCCTGCAGTTTCCAGCAACTGGTATTCAGAAGCATACTGCTTCAGGTGGTGATGGAACATAGCCAGCATGGATGGTAGCCATTGATAGTCTTGCCCTCTATGTATTTGTCTGAATCTTTTTTAAAATCTGCCCAAATTGGCAGATCCTCTTTGGGGATCAACTGTGTGCTGTGTGAAAAAGTTCTCTCCAAAAGGATAAAGGAATGAGGAGAGAACAGGGAAAAAAATAGAATGGTCAGTTCAAGGGAATGAGGGACCACGTAGAGCTGGTCTCAAAGCAGAGTCATTGGAATGGGCTGTGCTCTCCCGTCTCTCCCTGTAGTACAGCCAAATGGAATGGTGACACTTGAGGGAAAGGAAGAGATAGGGGAGCTAGTCTTTCAGCCACACAAATGGGGTGAACTACAAAACAGTCAACATTTTCAGTAGTGGCCCCACACTTACACATCTCCTGTCATCTGATACTTCCATATTTCAGTGCTTGGTTCATTTGGGTGAGTTGTAATTTTTAAGCATGCTGGGGTTCCCCCCCTGCTCAAAAAATAAGGATCTACAAATCTGCTGGCATTTAATTGGAGTTGCCCTGTAACTTTTGAAGGCTATATTGTGTTGCATCCAACTAAAGTTTGCTCCAAATGTGCCCACTGAAGTTAATCAACCTGCTACTCATGTCTATTAATTTCAATGGGACTACTCTGCATTGGATTCACATTTCACTATTGTTTCTTTTTGTTTTAAGTAGTACAAGATTTGGTCTTCACTTGAAACTTAGGTTATAAAATACACTTCTAAATTAATCACAAAGTGTTTTGCAAATTATCAGACCGCTAACTGTTGTTGAATACATTTATCCTGGAAAGGCTACTTGGTATGGTATCTTCTCAACATTTCTATTCTAGTTCTGCAGAGCATTATTAAGCTCTTTAGGTTTTTCTCAAAGTGCAGGTGCTTTAAGCTTTCATTTTAGCACAGCAGAGATGCTGTTTCTTAAAGCTTGTTCACTCAAATAGGCTAAATACACAAGAGATGACTGATGGTGAGTCAGAAAAAAATAACATTCTGAAGGACCAAAAGACCAAAATAAGCATGCTTTCAAATCCTCGACATCTGGTACTTAAGATAAAATGGAAATATTTAAAACATGTTTGAAAGATGCTTGTTTCAGAAGTTTGATTCAAATAATTATATATTAGGAGCTACCAATATCATTCACATAATAAAAAAACAGCAATAAAGAACAGAACTCTCAATGGAGCATCCAATTTGATAAAAATAAGATACCACGAGATCATATTCAATTATGATGACTCATGTCAAAATAGTTTTCATGTGCGGAAGGTTTTCTCTCTCTTCATAATACATAATACATAATACATATTACTCAGCTGATGTTTAAAAAAGAAAGGATAATAGTAGAACCAAAAAGAACTGATTGGCAAAACATTTTAAATCTGATCTTTGTTTTTGCTAAAAGCAATGAATACTGAAAGTGGCTTTGTCCAACAGGGAATAAAGAGTCAAAAAACTTAGGAAAAGAAGAGATGTTTTCAAAGTTTGTAGAATATGGAGAAAGGAGAATTTAGGATCAAGCTTCTACATTTCAAAACTTATGTTTTCCTTTTATATGTGGCTCATGACTTCCAGGTCCTGTAATAGTGCTATATGAGTAGGAGTGGGGACAGAGTTCGTATCTAGGTCTGCCACAGGGCCTAGTCTTTGTCTCCATAACCTGTTGTGTGGCCCGTAGCTCCTCGTGTGTAGATGTTTAAGATTGTCTGCTCTCTGTAAGCAAGTACAGGCCTGCCGGCCAAGGCATGTGAGAGGAAAGTGTCACTGTCAAGGACAGGATGTAGAGCATTGATATTATTTGAGCCATTTTAATCAGGAGCTGTATTTGAGAACAAGTGGTGGTATCATGGCTTCTCCTAGCTCTGGCCTGTAGTACATTGTTCTTTGGTGCCAACCTGGCTGTATTCATCTGTATTTCATTTTTGTTTTTCCCTTCATTGGGTGGGTACGATTGTCTGATGATAGCCTGATGTAACAGTTTTAGGTGTGAGTCTTCGTCCAATCACAGGGCTTGACTGTAGATCAGACACTTCCACCATCCCTGTGGACCATTTTGATAGGCCAGCAAGGCTACCCAGTTGTCAAATCCCCTGAATCCATCTTGGTAGCAGATTGGCAACACTGTTCAACAGAGGTGTCACATGTTGTCAATAGGTTGCTCTAAAAACAATCACTGTTACCTAGTAGCATGCCACACTATACAGTATTGCCCCTTGGAATCATGCATCTGTGCCTATTTATTGTTGTTTCCTCTGCTTTAAACACAAGGCTTTTTTAAAGCTGGAACTCACTGGAGCTCAGTTCTGGCACGTCTCAGATGGGTGCTATTGCCATTATAAGAGAACAAGGGTGAGTTCCGGTACCTCTTTTTCTAAAAAAAAACCCAGCACTGTTTGAATGCTATAAATAGCCTCCTTACTTGGCACAAAGGGTTATACCAGAAGGATCAAGATACTTGAGTCTTGGGCTCAAGTACTCCGTTCCTCATTTCCTTTACATCAAGGAGAGGACAATGACTAAATAGAGAAGATGCACATTCAGGGAAATGCACATCCTAGTTTAGATAATCACTTTCTCCTTCCTGGAAGGGTAATTAAGTATGGAGTGCATTAACCTGCAGGTGTAGGGCAGTATATAAATTTAATAAATGATAATGATAATAATAATAATAATAAAACAACAACAACAACCCCCAGGCCATTTCCAGGTGCATTCCAGGTGCAATCCCAGGAGCCAAAATATGAACAGATAGGCCCTACAATCTCTAGGATTCAAGTTCTTTCTGTGAAATGTTGCCACAGTGTCTTGAATAAAAGAGCCATGACCTGGCAGGCTACTTGGATGAAGGCAATATAAATGTTAAACAGCCATAATCGTGAAAGGATAAGCAAAACCACAGATGATACAAAGATAGGAAAAGATAAGAGGTAAATAGAACTGTCAGAATATAGCTGGAATAAAAACTATGTGCACATACATGCAACCAGGCAAGTATATAAAAAAAGAACTCAGCCACCATTTCTAGATTTTGCCCCCCTTTAAATATTTTTTTTTAATTAAAAAAAACATGGTGGGATTATAACTCAAGAGGACATACTGCTTTAGGGGTACTGTAGGAAAAAGATTCCTTTATTAAACTCTTCATGTTGGCCTAATAAAATGTACTACTGATATGGAAAGATAAAAGGATAGAACAGATTAGTACAGACTCCTAAGAATATAGATTTGCACCTGTAATAGGCCTAACTAACATTAAATAACAGAACGCATTACTCAGGCCATAAAGAAGAGATAATCTCTTAAATTATTAGCTTAGTATTTTGTTAGTAATGCTTTTCCCTTTCTCGCCTTCCATTCCTTTCCATAATTTTTTTCTTTCTTTTCCTTTTTTGCAGCACAAAATAGGTTGAAGAGACTATTAAAAAGTTGGGCAGAAATTAAGGTTATTCTTAATTAGAAATGAAGTTTAGGAAAGCAAGCAAAGGGCATCATGTGTAAAGCATCAGATGCTGATCAGAGATGCTGCTTTTCAGAACATTTACATGGCAAGATCTGCTTAAGTCAGCGTTTCAAACATCAATCGTCCGCAAATCACAGACTTTTCATTTGTACCTTCACTGGATGTGATTAAGAAAGGCTCCTAGACTAAGGGACATGGGTGGCACTGTGGGTTAAACCACAGAGCCTAGGACTTGCGGTTCGAATCCCCGCAACAGGGTGAGCTCCCGTTGCTCAGTCCCTGCTCCTGCCAACCTAGCAGTTCAAAAGCACATCAAAGTACAAGTAGATAAATAGGTACCGCTCCAGCGGGAAGGTAAACGGCGTTTCTGTGTGCTGCGCTGGTTCGCCAGAAGTGGCTTAGTCATGCTGGCCACATGACCCGGAAAGCTGTATGCCGGTTCCCTCGGCCAATAAAGCGAGATGAGCACTGCAACCCCAGAGTCGGTCACGACTGGACCTAATGGTGAGGGGTCCCTTTACCTTTACTAGACTAATTATTGCATGTTCCAATTGTTTGGTTTGGTTTTTTCTACAAAAATAATTTGTTGCACCTGAATTTCAAAACACCATAGGATTCCTTTCTATACTGTGAAAAAGATTTTTTTAAAAAGTTATTGTCTCTTCTTTAAATTAGTTTTAAAAACATTTGGTCTCTTTGTAGTTACTTCAACAGAGGTATTAAGCATGACTCATTAAGTATATTGAAAAGTTAGGGTAAACAACTGGAGGAAAACAAAATGCTAATTAATAAAACATACGACCTAACTCTGCTGAAAGTAATGGTCTGTTATTTTTTATGTTATGGAACTGCAGCACTTTCCAAATCAGGCTTCTCAATCATGGTTCTCTACAGGTGCTTTTGGACTCCAGTTCCCATCATCCCTAAACTTTGGCTGAACAGGCTGAGGCAAGGTACAGATTAACCACGTCTAAAGAGCACCACATTAGCTATGCCTTCCATGGTCCTTAGAGAATCCAACCTATCTTGTAGGAAATCATGTGGAGGAAACCATGCAGATTAGTGTGTGTGATGTTTTGCACCTGGCTTTCAAATTATGATTTGCATAATTTTGGCAGAGGAATGCTAACTTCCCAGTAATAAAGAAATATGAAGGGAGGGTGGGATGGAGAGAGGCCACAGGTCAGTTTTAAAACTTACTCTTTCAGTATATGAGATCCTAGGTACAGTTCTTGGAATCTTCATTTCAATCCAACCACTGATCTTTGCCTTCTTTACTGTCTTAAAATAAGGAAGAGTTAACTCCAAAATAGATGTCTTTGACTTGTGTGACATGGCATGTTCCCCTCTAAAATGGAGCCCATTCCTCTGCAGGTTTCCCACTATCCTTTGCACCAATCATTCAGACAAGGAGAGACGTTTGTTGACTAGGGCCTCCATTGCCTGAAAATAATTTTGGGAAGCTGAAGAGAATTGGCATCCTGGGAAACTACCTTCATCATAATCATCATCATTTTATTTGTATTCCACCATTCTACAGTTAAAAACAATGCTCAAGGCGGCTTAGAACATGACAAGATTTACATAATTAGGTAAAGGTAAAGGGACCCCTGACCATTAGGTCCAGTCGTGGCCGACTCTGGGGTTGCAGCGCTCATCTCGCTTTATTGGCCGAGGGAGCCGGCGTACAGCTTCCAGGTCATGTGGCTAGCATGACTAAGCCACTTCTGGCGAACCAGAACAGTGCACGGAAACACCGGTTCCCTTCCTGCCGGAGCGGTACCTATTTATCTTCTTGCACTTTGACTTGTTTTCAAACTGCTAGGTTGGCAGGAGCAACAGGAGCTCACCCCGTTGCGGGGATTCGAACTGCCGACCTTCTGATCGGCAAGTCCTAGGCTCTGTGGTTTAACCCACAGTGCCACCCGCGTCCCTTGTAATTACATAATTACAAAAGTCATAAACAATTCTCTAGCATCATGTTCTAATGAAATCCCAAGGGAGAGTAGGGAGAGAGAAGACGTTAGAGATGGATTTGTGGAAATTTCCTGCAAATCTGTGGATGTGAGATACTATGAGAGAGTCCAATGGAATTTTAGCCTTCTTTGTGGCCAAAGTATTTTGAGATTGTAAGAATAACTTGGAGTTATTCCTTAAAAACTTGCAAACGACAGCTTGATCAGGACTGGAACCATGTCAGGGTGGATTTGACCCTTCACTCCCATGTCATGGTCCTGAGGGAAATTGTTCTCCTCTATCCCCAAGCTGTTCTTCTGCATGGGAAAGAAGCACCCATTGGCATCGATGAAGCCTTATCCTTTTGGAGAACTGAACACAAATTTAAAATGATTGAAACATACACACACACACCCAAAAAACACCCCAAACAGAACCATCAACACAAACAGTCAGAGGTATTTCCTGCAGGATCAATGGTGGCAAAGGCAATCTTCTCTGTGAACCAGAACTGTATATGAATGATATTGTTCCTCAACTGTGTGGTATTGATTTTGTCACAAACCATGAAAATACAAAAGTAATATAAAAATAGCTTCAATCGTTTTCTGTTGCTGTTAATGTGGTGGCTATAAGAGCAATCTATATTTAGTTAGAGGCTTAGCTGAACATCTGGTAAGCTGGTGTTTCACACCTGTTTTAGGAATAAAATATTAAATAATTGCTTTTGAAATGTAGCCAGATTTATTTCATTGCCACAAAGTGAGTGGTATTTGTATAGAGATTGCATTCATTGTGTAATATATTAAAAGAAATAAAGCAATGCGTGTTTGTGCCATCGATTCTATGATATTTTCTCTTGAATAAAGTTGATAACAAATGAGGACATTTTAGTAAATGCCAAAGGCTAAAATGAATTCCAGCATTTCAAAATTAATCAAAATTATTCAGCTTCCAGTTTATCTTGATTTTACAGAAAACTGAAAAAATGCTGACAAAATAGAGAACATTGTCTCATGCTGATCTGAAATGAAAATCAGTTCAGCGGAGGTCAAATGTATGTCTAGTTAAGGCGGAACATATATCATTGCTCTAATTGAAAGACAGTACTGGCATTTCCCATTACATATCCATATTTTTAAAAGATATAGCTCAGCTGTAAGGATTCACCCTAGATTGAATCTAATAGGTTCTGGTCCTATACTACACTGGGAGAGGTTCAGCAGCTCTGCATCTAGGAAGGGAATGTTGTGCATTGTTGGAAACATTTCATAATGATAATTTAATACTGACAATATTTAAAACCCCAAGTGATAATCCTTAATTTAATGACAGATCTGATCAATTAAACCTTAGGAAATTAAACCATCTGGATGCTGTTATAGGCTTATTTAGGTTAGAGTCTCCCGTTATCTTTTGACATTAAAAAAAACCTGCTCAAACTGTTGACACTTCTTGATATGCCTCTATTTGGTGGACCTCATACTACCATTTTGGCAAGCTGGCCTGCTCTGTGTAACTGACTAGCACCACATGTAGGTGTCTGCTCTCAGCATGCAATGGCCAGTGTTGTGTTTTAAATACTTGATAATACGTGCTGAAGCTGAATTTTGCACACGGTATTATGTTCGGATAGCATGTTCAAGATGAATACTTTGAAAGCTACAGTTTTACAAAGTGAGGCAAGTCCCTGTTCTCACCCAGGGCAGAGTCCGTGACAGTGGATTTGCCACATACAAATGAATGAATAAAAATATTGGTGTTTACCACAGACGAGTGATTTTTTATTTGCCAGACTACCACCACCCTTACATTTCTTCTGAATGAATTAGCAACTTTCTTACAAGCTCAAACCAGGTGCTGGCCTTTATGCCATGAGCAGATTATTTCTCACTGCCTCCCCCCCCCCCACTTTGCATTATTTAATAGGGGAGGAGGGACTTCATTCATGGCATTATTTATTTATTTATTTAAAAATTATTAGTCACCTTCTAAAGAACAGCCTCAAGGTGATGTACGCTGGAAATAATTATAAAACAAATAGAAATGCAAAAGCAGCAAGTATCAAACAAAACTGAAACCTTACAGGGCAGACTCTTGTGGTAAAGACCCATTATTTAGCTGGGAAAGCCTGTCAGAACACAAAAGTCTTCACACCCACACACCCAACAAAAGTGCAGATAGTGAGTGCCTGTTTTATCTCAACAGAAATGTTATTCCACAGAACGAAGGCAGCTAAACTAAAAGCCCTGCTCCAAGTTAAGATCTTTGGAACTTTTAAGAGAGACTCTCCTCCGACTCCTGCATTCTACTGGTTGTATAAGGGATAAGGCATTCCCTCAAGAAACGTGGTCCTAGCTGTATTCTATGTTAGCACCAACACCTTGAACATGAACTGGTAGCTAATTGGCAGCTAGTGCCAGTCACTTAGCATTAGCGTAGTATGATCCCCTCTCGCCTCACCAATTAAAGCTCCACCAGCTACATCCTGAGCTGGTTGAATCCTTCAGGACAACTTCAAGGGCAGTCCCTTGTAGCCCACTCAGGCTGTTAACAAGAGCATAGGTTACCTTCTTTCCCTGCACCTTCCTTTCCTGCATCTTCACAAACCCTGTGTTGAGGTAGGACAGCACAGTTTTCATCCTCTCCAGCTTGCTAGGGGAACAGAGCAGCATCAGCATCCATAGGCCTGATGGTTTTGGGTTCCCTAAGCTAATACTAATAGCCTAAGCCAGCAGTTCTCAACCTGTGGGTCCACAGATGTTGTTGAACTACAACTCCCATCACCCCTAGCTAGCAAGGCCAGAGCTCAGGGATGATGGGAGCTGTAGTCCAACAACATCTGGGGACCCACAGGTTGAGAACCGCTGCCCTAAGCTAATACTTTAAGGACCCGCAGGAGAATAGCGAGACAATAGAGAAAAGAAGCAAAGTTTTTGAAGTCTGTCCTCTGATGTGCCAATGTTTTATCTCTCCCACAACACACACACCCTTCAGGGAGCTATTGCAAAGCAGAACCTCTCCGTGTGACAATGAGCCAGTGAGGTAAGTCCTTACAGAAAGCGAACATAAGAATCAGGCCTTCATTAACTTTATAGTAGACACGAGTGGAATTTTCTTTCCAGGATTACAAACCATCGCAAATATATCCAGTTAGCTGCTTTTCTCAGCTTTCACAAGAATAATCACTTGTACGAACAATTCAACTTTCTCCAGTGTGGCGTAACCTTAAGGTAAAGCACGCTGGCAAAGTGAAACTTCTAGAACTTTAAAATCCTGGGACAGATGGTTGACATATGGAGCCATGTGTTTCAAATGTTTGATTTTCCCCTATAACAGAGCGCCTGTGGATACCGTACGCCAGCAATATCGGTGCACAAGTGGGCTATGGAGTGCTTTGATTGTTTGCAGCTGGAGTGGTATTTTGCCCAGTTCGCTGTTAGAATAACAAGCACAAAAGGGTCTATGGATTTTATAAGGAATGTGAAGAGGGTCTTGGACTAAAAACCCGAAGCAAAGGTAGCAATGTCTTTACAATCAAAGCCAGTGTCCATGGCTGAAAAGAAAAAGCTGTCAGTTTCCCTTTTGTAGAACAGTGGTTATCTGTTAGAGTTGCTTCTATCCCGTCACAAACAGTAGGAGCAATTTATTACATAACCCAGCTGGGAAACATTTGTTCCCTGATATCAAAACAGCTCCACGAACAAATATCTGTGTCTATGTCAGCAGCATACTTATAGGCCTACAAATTACAATTAATGTATTAAATATTATGAAGCAAGGTAGAGCCAGCATATGCTACTAACCATGTCAATGTTATGCCTGCAATGTTATGTAGGCATAACACAAGCACTATGATATCCCATTTGTTTAAATTCAGATTCCATTCTACATTTACACTAGGGATGAAGGGCTTATTTCAGAGCCTGTAACTGCAGTAAGCAGCAGACTCGAGGTATGTATGAACTGATCATGCTGGCCACCGTGCAAAGAAGTCTGTGGGGGTGCAGTGACATAGTTTTGCTGGAAGTGCATCAGAAGGAATCATTCTGTTTGTAACTTAAGATTTAATTCTATTCTTAGTAAATTAGCCAACCAAGAGATGACAATGGTGGAAAGTGTTGCTTAGCAACCAGGGAGTGTGGCACAATTCTCACTGAGGTAGCACATGCTCTCATTGGCTGTGTACTTCTGAGGGAGTTTTCCTCTGTAAGTTTGGTTGAATGTTTCCCTACTAGGCACAAGGTTGCGAGTAAGAACTGAAAAAACCTCTCTGTTTATTTCTTCTCGTTATATACCACTTTTATTATGAGGATTTTTCTCCCTGGACTTACTCTGCTTTATTTAAGTCACTTTGCTAACAAGTTTTAGATGTTTTTAATTGCTTTTAAAGGTAAATGTAAAGGTCCCCTGACAGTTAAGTCCAGTAGCGAATGACTCTGGGGTTGCGGCGCTCATCTCGTTTTACTGGGCGAGGGAGCTGACATTCATCCGCAGACAGTTTTTCTGGGTCATGTGGCTAGCATGACTAAGCCGCTTTTGGTGAAAACAGAGCAGCGCACGGAAACACCATTTACCTTCCCGCTGGAGTGGTACCTATTTATCTACTTGCACTTTGGCAGGAGCTTTTAGATGTCTCTAATTGTTCTTAAATATTATATATATATATATATATATATATATATATATATATATATACACTGTATTTTTTAATTGTATTCTGATATCATTGAGCTCCTTTTGAAAAAGGGTGAGACACACACTTAATTGATAGATATTGCCAGCACAATTGCCATGGCTATGGTGCTGAACAAATATGGGCTACAGCAGCAGAGGTTTATACTAGTGCCACAACAACCTTCATATCTAGATCTTTCACAGATAGCATCATCAAGTAAAATTGTTATATAGCTTAGAAGTCTATTTAGATGTGGTATAGTTGTGTTGGAAAAGAATGAAGACAGGAGGTGGTGCATCTATTATATGTCTAATGATAGTTTGATCCTGGAATTCTACTGCTGGAAGAGTAAATTTCTAACCTATAGACACTTCATTTTTCAACTTAAATGCTTCTCGCATGCTCTCTATGACAAGTACGTCAGTGGAAGGTAGGGGTGATGAGACAGAGCTCTTGGTGGTGAAGCACTTACAATGCTCCCCGCCCCCCGAGGGTTGAGCTTTTCCAAGAGCCTGCTCTGGGCACCCACAAAAACTTGTGGGGCCTTGAAGCACCTGCTGCCACAACCTCCAGCTCCCACTTCCCTTTAGGGCCAGCAGAAAGCACCAACAGAAGAAGGCTGGAGCCTTTATCCCTGGCTTAAATGATGCAAATACTGTCTTCTTCTTCCAGGAATGATGTGTAATATGGGGATAGCTCCAGTCCAATCCCTGTTGTAGGGCCAGGCTTTGTTGGTGCCTCTAAACAGCCTGCTGCCACTTATCTTCTTCTTTTCCTCAAGGTAAGGAGCTCCTTGGAACATGAAAAGGAGGAGACAGTGATGGTGGGTAGACTCTGGAGGTGAACAGGGCACTTTGGGTCCTGCTCACTTCAGCCCTCTTGTGTGCCAAGGCACCAGAGCCACAAAGTTCCCAGGAGAACTATAAAGTACACAGACACAAAGTATTTTGGTTTATGGGTTGAAATAGGCACTTAGATTAAGCTTCTCTTTACAATCAAGTGAGATAAATATATCTATATATTTCTCACTTGATTGTAAAGAGAAGCTGAATCTACGTGCTGTGCAAAAAAATAAAATGAACATTAACACCACCAATAATAGATAAAAGTTAAAAACAAGTATTTTTCAATTAAAAAAATTTAAAATCAACAATCAGTGAAAACCAGATTAAAGCACATGTCAGCTTTTACTTGAGTTGATTGGCTTGCCTGAACAAAAATGCTTTTAGCAGGTGCCAAACACTGTCAGGCTTCAGAGGATCCAACCCCCCACAGTAGGTTGCCAAGAATGGATCTTACCAATGTTGCTTATTCAATAATCACAGAGAGAGGCTTAGAAATGCAGCTTCTTGGAGTAATGGTGTTGCTCCGAGTGAAACCCCACCCCCTCCGTCTCTCCCATTATACGTCATCCCTACAGTGGCTGATCTGTGCCTTCTGCCTCTGAGCTCTCTGCTCTCCTACTTCCAATGCCTGCCGGGTGCTGGGAGAGGGCGGTCTAGAATGCTTTCTAAAGACACTGAGTGTCAGCTGTCTCTCTCCTGGTGCTTCCTCCTCCTCCTCCTCCTCCTCCTCCTCCTCCTCCTCCTCCTCTCCCATTATTTCCCAGCTTTCCCCCTCATTGGCCTCTGAGTTGTGGCCTCCCTCAAACCCCTATTGTAATTCGGAACTGTCTCCTTCTTCTCTGGAAGGATCAGGCTGGGGAGGCGGTCTCCACCATTCCTCCTCTGTCCAGTCCCTGACAAATACAGTACAGCAAAGGTGCCTGCCTGATGTCAAGAGGCAGGGAGTTCCAAAGTGTAGATGCTACCATGCTTAAAGTTCAGTTTACTACAAGGGCAGAATTAACATTATGTGGCATATGTGCTAGTGGCAGTTTCACAGATTGAAGCAGTAGAGTGGGCATATATGGGGTAAAGGCAAACTTTCAAGAGAGAGCTCTTGAAGGACATTTGGGATCATTTTTCATGCTGAAAATGTTCAGCCCCAACCCTATAAATTCCTTTGTGGATTGCTTCTAAAGGTAGGATAGGGTTGAACCAAATATTTGCAGAAGACTTTCCTGCCCAACAAATGTTGCCTTTTAGGATAGATTAGATCTGGGCAAAAAGTCGTCTCTGATTATTGAAGCTTCACGAGAGAAGTTCTCCTGGGCATTTTCCCAAATGAAATGACCAAATGAACCAAAGGAAATGACTGAAAAATCCAATGAAACATCTAAAAGACCCGATGAAGCATACAAATTTCTGACTATCTAATATAATCAGGTGGGGAGTTCATATGATGTCATGTTACACTTCACTAGGAAATAAATCAAGGTAATTGACACAAAATGAATGAAGGAGAACTTAGGGGAGAGAGATACAATTGAGAAGATTTGTCAAATGATTTAATAATGTGGCTGTCAATTGCAAATTAAAAAAGCAGAATAACTAAATAGCCTATGGGACCACCATAAAATTCAGATAATTAGAAGTAGGGAAAAATGGTGGGTTATGTTTACATAAGGCGCATACAATAAATTTGGGGATTTAGAATCTCTCCCCAATAATGGAAATCTCCATCGGTTGCCATAAGCTCATAGACCAGTATAGTGATGTGGCATGTAACCTTGAATCGAAAATCCTAGTGGAACTTCACTCATGGGATACTTCCATTAGTGGAAGTTGGGTGGAGACAATATTTGCCAATTCCTCCCCCCATCCCCCCATCCCCTGGTTGCCCTAAAAAATCTGCTCAGAAGATTTGGACAGCCCTCCCAACTGTGTGAAAAGTGGCATTGGGGACACAAGAGGAAGGGGAAATTAGCAAAAATGGCCTCCCTTCCTCCAGCTGGAGCCTCTGCTGGACCTCAGTTCCTTGTGTGAATGGAAAGCAGCTTTCTATTTGTGAAAGGGACATTCTAGAGCCATGGCTCTGGAAAAAGAACTCCAGTATTTTTTCAACTGTTCTCATTGATTAAAGAGAAAAGAAGTTGCATTTGAAAATGATCAAAGCTCATAGATGCCAATAAAGATGAATGCAACCCAATGAAGGAATTCTACCCACTTCTCTGCCAGTGACAAGGCAGGTGGGGCGCCTATGGGCTTCTGCCCCTGATGGACTTCTGTCACCTGAGGCAGCAGCCACCCCCTGCCTCATGGCTGCGATGGCTCTGAGAAGGAGGTAGCAAAACTGGAAGCCTCTTTCTCAGAGAAGTAAATTTTCAAGAGATTAGACAGCAAGTCTCAGCCTAGCACTAAAGCCAACAGTCAGCATTCTTCCCCATTCCTCCAAACACATTCTAGCTGCCAGAAACTTCAATATGTCTAAATCAGCTTAAATTCAAAAACAGCTGCTTTAAGTGGTTTGTAGATTAGGTTGAATATCGCTACTATTTGCATACAATTCCAAACAATAATTCTGACAGTTCCTATGTTGCAGAGCAGAAACTGTGGCCCAAATCTATTCTTATATTGTTGTTTATGTCAATACATAGTCAAAATAATTTCCCTCGCATTCTTCCATACTGAAGTTTACTTTTCTTATGAGTGTGCCACATGGTTAGATTTTTACTTAACCGTGTTTGTGAGGAAGGTTTCTTTTCAATCATTCTTCTGTACAGAATTAAATATTAACATAAACTTGTAGCCTCTAGGGATGCAATGAATAGTAACTTCCCTCTCAAATAATTGACCAGCTTGCTATTATGCATGGTATGCTGGGTAGATCTGTGAAGAAAAAGGGTGTGTGAGAGAGCTATTGCAGAAGTGGTTGCGCATTTAAGCCAGTGGCAGAGAATGGGGAAGGGTGTACAAAAGTTGAGCAACCAGTGAAATAGGAAGTCAATAAATCATTTCAATGAGGGGGCAGTGATGAGTCAAAGTAGCACTTTGAAAGAGGAGCAGTAATGAGCAATAACCTGATAATATGTGAAACAGCAAACCCCGCCAGCTATTAGAATAGGAAATTAGAATTGGAGCCATTTGCCTGACGCCATACACGATAGCCAGCTGGGTTCGAAACAATGTCTCTCCCCACCCCCCACCCCCCACCCCGGGGGGGCAGGGAGTGTACAGCTTCTGCCCTGTAGCAGCTCACACTGGGAGCTAATATAGGAGCTGCGGACTCCACCCCTTCCTGGCCCTATGGGCGAACCATCCCATAGGGGTGAGGCGCACCCAGGGGCCTCCAGAGTCTGCCTGCCTCCTCCCACTCAGCCATCCTACAGCTGAGGGGCAGAGGCAGCAGGCGGACCGTTTGGGCAGCATGGAGCCTGCGCGCGCCCAAGCCAACACGGTGGCTCAGGCATGCTGCAGGCCCCACGGTGAGTGCCACCCGGCATTTTGTCACCCCCCTCAGTGTTGACACCCACCACACACCCCTTCTTCCGCCCCTGGGGGGAGCAACCATATTTCAGGCACCTGGTGTGAGGACCTCTAGTCCTGGGGCAGGGATGTCTTGAATACATGTGGTCAGAAAAGTCCAGAAGGCCACCTTTGTAACACAGATCTGCGAAGGTGGTTAAGGGGTGGAAACACTGCCTTTTCTACTGCTAGTAGTTCGCTGATGGCATAATTTGCCTTTGACAGACATTGTTATAGAACCCGTAGACAAAACACTGCCGCAGCTCCACTATTATTTTAATTGATTCCTCATTCTCAGAGATGTGTTGTAATCACTAATCTTCCTAATGTATTAGCCACACTAAGCCTTATTCGTCCTCATTTATTCATAAAGAGAGGATGAAATCAGCCCCCATTTCCCAAAGTACAAGTCAGAACTCTGCACTCAGATGCCACACAGGAGTTTCATGTGCTGCTCTGATGTCAAAGGCTGGCCCAAGAGAATGCTTTTCTCTCAGGCCAAAACCATAATACTGTTAATTAATTATAATCATAAAGCTGGGAATGTTTTCATGATGAAATGTCGGAGAGTTGGGCTATATATGAAAGCTTGGTTAATATCATTTGTGCATTCCTAGTTTTCCAAAAATAAACTTGGGGCGGGCAGATTTCCCACTCCATTTCATTATTATTTCATGGCTTGGCTCTGTCCTGCAATTCACTCCTCTTGCCTTCTGGTTGAACGCTGATAATTTCTACAATTTATTTTGGAATTAGTGCGGGTGTCATTTGCTGTAGGGTGCCATTCAAATATTTTTCCCTTACAGGTTTCTAGTGCACATCAGAACATATGCCCATCGCTTAAAGCCCCACTCCAAAAGGAATCCTCATTCAATGGCATTACCACACCCATGTTCTTTTTTTGCACTGTGATTTAATCAGTGCAATGTGTGCATACATGCATGCATAATTTTTTGTAGTTTTCATAGAATCCTAGAGTTGGGAGGGATCTCAAAGGTCATCTATTCCACCTCTCCCAATGCAGAAAATCTACTGCTCCAGCATCCATGAAAGGCAGGCAGTCAGTCTCAGTTTAGTGTCAAACTACCTCTCAGCTAGGGACGCGGGTGGCACTGTGGGTTAAACCACTGAGCCTAGGACTTGCCGACCAGAAGGTCAGCGGTTCGAATCCCCGTGATGGGATGAGCTCCTGTTGCTCAGTCCCTGCTCCTGCCAACCTAGCAGTTCGAAAGCACATCAAAGTGCAAGTAGATAAATAGGTACCACTCCAGCGGGAAGGTAAACGGCGTTTCCATGCGCTGCTCTGGTTCACCAGAAGCAGCTTGGTCATGCTGGCCACATGACCCGGAAGCTGTCTGTGGACAAATGCCGGCTCCCTCGGCCAATAAAGCGAGATGAGCACCGCAACCCCAGAGTCGGTCATGACTGGACCTAATGGTCAGGGGTCCCTTTACCTTTACCTCTCAGTCCCTTCTTTCTTCTTTACAGCTTACTAAGGGCACAAGCACATATGTACATGATCACACCAAAATCTTTTCTGGGCTGCAATTTAATCAGTGAAGATATGTGTGCATATTTACTGGTAGAATTCTCATGCCATCATGCCATAACTTCAAGTTTGCTTTTAGTGCAAAATTCAAATAACTGTACTTGCTCATGTGTATCAATTATTTGTAATCTACTCTTTCTGCGCACACAGAAAAGGCAGCAAGTGATCTGGTGATCCAGAAACAGATTGTTCCCTTCCTAGATCACCATTATGCCAGGATTCTTCTCTGTGTGTGCACACATGTGCATGCTAGGTATGTGTGAGAGATTGTTTGCTTGTGTCAAAAGGTGTGCGTTTTTAGAGGGGAGTGTTAAGTGTGCACTGTCTGGCCATACCAATTTATGGCTCTGACCCTTGTCATCTTTTGGAATGTGCCCCCTGGAAACTTTCCACTGGAGTAATGTGTCACTCAACACCGCCCCCAATGTTCTCCAACCATGCTGTAAGAGCAAAAAAGAGAAGGACATGGAAATCTGTTATAAACTGCATTTCCACAGCAGACTGATCCATGCCCAAAAATCTAAATGATGGAGTAGCAAATTGCTAGTGCATCTGTATTGCTCAGGTAACTTAGAACACAGGACATTCAGATTTTCATTAGCATTTCATCAGCTTCCCAACCCTGTAATATCAAATGTGAAGAGCAAATTTAGAGCTGGTGACTGGGTATAGCCTCCTTCTGGGCCTTTGGATCAAAGGCAAAATGATATAGAGATCCATATACTCATATACCAGCATGTCATAAAATCCCTGAGAGAAACAGACCTCATAAAATGAGGAAATTGCAACATCTCTCCCACAACTGTTGATCAACACAGCAGCCATCTCACATCATATATATTACTTGCAAGATGCCCACTAAATCATAAATGGTGGAAATGTGACCATAAAGATTGGCAATCCCAGCTTGCTTTTCCCTTATTTTATTTCCCATCCTTAGTGAGACTCACCTCTGTCCCTGTCTCTCCATAACCTGCTCTATCACTCAGTGGTGTTTTCAGTCAGTAGCAATGGGGAAATTATGAAATTTTTGTGTTTCAGAGAGAGAGGGAGAAGTTTGCCCCCAGATGCTTCACACAGTTTAATATTCAGTTTTTGAAGTGTTTGGGAGCATCACCAGATAGCTTACCAGTTTTGAACGTCTTGCTAAACAGAAGCAGCTTGTCCACTGGTGGATCTGCACACCCTGACTTTGTTACGAGATATCCCTTCCAAGCAAGTAGCAATAACACCACACTCAGGAGGCTATTGCTCCAGCTCTGTCCCACTCCTGTTGCTAACTGCTGCATGGCTTTTCTGTTTGTTTGGAGAGGTCCTGGTCCATCTAGCTAGGTATTGTCTACACTGAATGACAGTGACTGTCTAGTGTTTCAGACCAGTCTCACCTGGAGACATCAGGAATTGAATTTGGGACTTTCTGAAGCCAAAGCAGATGTATTTGCACTGAGCTTTAAAGGTAAAGATAAAGGGACCCCTGACCGTTAGGTCCAGTCGCGGATGACTCTGGGGTTGCGGTGCTCATCTTGCTTTACTGGTCGAGGAAGCCTGTGTACAGCTTCCGGGTCATGTGGGCAGCATGACTAAGCCGCTTCTGGCGAACCAGAGCAGCGCACGGAAATGCTGTTTACCTTCCCGCCAGAGCGGTACCTATTTATCTACTTGCACTTTGACGTGCTTTCGAACTGCTAGGTGGGCAGGAGCAGGGACCGAGCAACAGGAGCTCACTCCATCGCGGGAATGTGAACTGCTGACCTTTTGATCGGCAAGCCCTAGACTCTGTGGTTTAGACCACAGTGCCACCCGTGTCCCTGCACTGAGCTTTAGTTCTTGCCAATGGTTCTAGTGCACTGTTTTCTGTGACTTTGGAATCACATAATGGTTCGTGTATAATGCTTTGTGCTGTGGTTGCGTTTAATCAATTTGCTCCCACACTGAGATACATGAAGCTGTGGTCAGTAAAGATCTTATTGCAAAATGCTTCTTTTTCAAAGGAAAAAGAAATGTGACATCAAATCTGATTTATCCTTAACGCTGGTGAAAATCCCTCCTTTTCAACCAAAAATTAAGAGCATATGTTTCAGAATTCAGTCCTAATTTGTAATGAATTGCTTCAGTAAAGCCACTTATATCAGTATTGTTAATCTTAATGGGTTCAAGTGACCCATGTTCTCATAATCCAGACCATCAGTTGAGTGCAAATTTCTTTTTCTAATTAAAAATGTTTGACCACAAGAGGGAGTTCCTTGCCAACTGTTTACCTGTCATGAAAGAGAAGAGTGCAGTGCACTGGATTTAAAAGGAAAAGGAATACCCAGCAAATACTTTTGGTTTGATTTGACTCCAAGACAAACGGAGTTATACAAGTTGCTTTAAATACGTGTTTATTTTGGCATATATATGTCAAGGTAACTGATTGGGCTGCATTGCCATTTATAAACATATGGCTTAATGCATATCAAAAATAAAAAGGATGAATGCTTCAGGGGAGATGAAGCTAATGATTTTATATAGCTGCATCCTTTTATGCATTCACTTGAGTTTTCTTATATGTAAGTTTGCATTTGTACCTCACACTCTAGTGTGACCATGAAGCAGAACCTAGGATGGGACCGTGCAGAGGAAGAGAAGAAATGAGACTCAGTTCTCACTGACAGTATCACTGGGGATAGAGAGCTGATTTTCATTTTAGCCCAACTACCTCTTATTTAAGGAATTGTTGAGTGCCACCCACTCCTATATGGAGAACGAATGCCCTACATTTAGGGGTAAAAAAAATACCCCTCTGGGTGGCCCATCCTTCACGGACAGAGTTCCTGCAGCCAGACTCAGAGGATTCACTGGCGCAATCTTCTCAAATCTGGTGCCCTCCAACTCCCATCAGCTCAGTGGGTTACCAGGTTGTGAAAGGCTAGACTAGTGCAACCCCAGGTATCCTTGCAATAGAAGGCAAGCCCTCCCTTCATAATGATAGGCATTTTGCTAGTTTAGAATAAAAGCATCCATTCAGTAGTGCCTTCTTCAAACCAATAGTAAATCTCTTCTTTTATTGTTAAATGTGTCACCTGATTACTCCATTCTTTTGCAATTTTTTAAAATATGAAATTTCCTCTCTATATTGCCAGCAAGACATTTACATTACTCTGAACAGATGTGTCACATTAAAATTGTATTGTAATGTGGCTTTAAAGCATTGCATTACCATGGTGATTTTATCTCAAGTGTTATTCGTCTAATAATTGGACAGATTTTGCAACTTGTGGACAATTTTCAGCTAGTATGGGGTGGGTTTTTTTAATGCTCTTTAATCTGTGATCTTAAGAACATTTACTTAGAAGTAACTTCCACTGAAACTTATGAGAATTATTTCCAAGGAACTCTGTACAGAATGAAGTTCTATCTCCTTTGTTTTCAAGGCAGATTTGCTATTCGCTCTTAACGTTAATCCTTCCTTCTTTCTGTTCTTTTTATCCATATACAACAGGAAAAATTCAGATGTTTTGAAAGAGCACTTCCCAGTCAGTTTCAAGCTATTTCTGACAGGGTGCATTAGATCAAGTCATAATTTCAATCCATTTTCTTTAAATTTAATAAGATATGACAAAGGAAATACCTTCTTTTGTGGGCTTAAAAAGCAGTTTATATGTTTTTCCAGCTGTTCCCAAAGAGGAGGATGCTAAAAATCAAAAGGCTGTTGCATGTGCACATCTATTTGTACCTATGCAAGTAACATCAATTGTGAGGTAAAGTATATCTTTAGGAAGATGCTTAGCTAACACCTAAATTTGAGGATTAGTGCTATTGTTTTTACTTTTGCATGTGAAAGCCAACCACCCATTTTAGGCACGTTAGACTAACAATAATCAACACCAGGGTTGCTAGCATCCCAAATCCTGAGATTCATGGGGTGGGACATAGTGCCACCCCCTAGGCAGGAAGAAGACAGGCAGGTGGGGCTGACTGATATCTGACAGATTGTGAGGCAGCATCCCATTGACCCAAATGGATCATCCTCCACTGTTTAACAACGTGCAAAAGTTAATCTCAGGAAGAGGGGAGAGTGGAAAGCATTGACAAACCTGAAGCACTGTACCGTTAGGAAACCTGGTTTTATTATCCTGCATAAATACGATGGAATTTAAATATTTTATACTGAATTAGCATGGAAAGTATGCTATTCAAAATAGTGTCCTTCAGAGAAGTATCTGTTACATTAAGACATGGCAGCACTCCATTTGCAAGGGGTGAGGTCTGGAAGAGAAAGGGAGCTAAGATAAATAGTTTGCAGTTTTGTTCAACAAAGTTATGTCAGGGCAGGATGAAGCCAAGATATTTTGTGGCCTGAAGCAAAGGACAAGATGGTGCTTCCCTCTACCATGAGATGCAAACTAGACTGGCAGATGACCTGGAAGCATTTGCCATGGTGTCTAAGGGTGGTATGATAGCTTAGGGAGTCCAGGTCAGTTTCTCCATTCCAAAACTTTGATGCTCCATTTTCAACCCCATCTGGCTGAAGTGGTGCCAAATCCCACTGGTTCATGCTGCCACCCCTACAAAAACAACATGGAACTGATCAATTTTTGCCTTTGAGGGTGACGAAGAAGTCAAACTATGAAAGATATTGCTGCCTGGAAGTGTGCTGCTGCTTCCCTGGGTGAAGAAACCCCTTCCCAGAAAGTGTAGGTCACCTGCTACAGGGCTGGTACTCAGCACCATTTCAGATCTTTCGAATCACTACAAGTTTGCACTGAATTGTATCCATTTGTTTGCTCCGTGCCTTACTTATATACCATTGTGCTTTGGATGTGCTTACAATGGTTGTAATGTTTGTTAATCTTTAATATTTTTCCTGTTATTGTGAGCTGCTTTGAACTCCACATTGTTGTTGGGAAAGCGGAATGCAAATATTAAAATTTAAAAAGAACCGGCGATCCGCGCGGCGGTTCCCGGAGCATTCGCGGGCTGGATCCAGAAGGCAATTGGGCCTGATCCGGCCAGCGGACCTTAGTTTCCCGACCCATGGGCTAGATGGATGAGGCTGCCGGGCCTCTTCTACCTTCATTTCTCTGTGCTACTTATCAATGTGCTCATACAGAAACTCAGTGATTGCGCCCTGCATCTAAATTATCACTGCATACTTATTCCAGCAAGATGTTTTTTGAAAATAAGGCCACTTATTTCAAAAGTACTCTTTTCCAAATATTTTATAATTAAAAGTGTGTAATTTTCATCCGTAAGCAATTACAACTGCATTTAGCTCATCGTTGTGGAAGATGTTGAAACAAAAAGGACCGCACAACTGCAGAGATGGAGACGGCATTTCTATAATGACAGTAATCCAGTTTATTTTAGCGGCGTTTGTGCAAATGGCAAATTGGTACAGATGTGAAAGAAATTTGCATGGTTAATGGCATGGTTTCCATCTTGTTCCTCTACTGTCCGGTCAGCTGTCATGATAAACATTGCATTCCTAATGGTATTGAAAACATGTGGCTGGTAATCTTTGTTATTGCTTGAACTAAATGATGCCATGGAAAAGTTAGTGATTCCTACAAGCTTCATTTTAGGGCTTAATTGGGTTACAATTCCTATTCAAGATAACACTGCATTGCAAATGATCTTGTGGGTTAAACCACAGAGCCTAGGGCTTGCCTATCAGAAGGTTGGCGGTTTGAATCCCCACAACGGGCTGAGCTCCCATTGCTCGGTCCCTGTTCCTGCCAACCTAGCAGTTCGAAAGCACAAAGTGCAAGTAGATAAATAGGTACCGCTCTGGCGGAAATGTAAACAGCGTTTCCGTGTGCTGCTCTGGTTTGCCAGAAGTGGCTTAGTCATGCTGGCCACATGACCCGGAAGCCGTACGCCGGCTCCCTTGGCCAGTAAAGCAAGATGAGTGCCCCAACCCCAGAGTCGTCTATGACTGGACCTAAGGGTCAGGGGTCCCTTTACATTTTTTACCACATCTTTTCCAGAGATTGTACACTTGGACTTCCAGCTACCTCTCCCACAACTACAACTTAGCTATCGTTTTCCACACTAAACAGGGACAGCTCCATCTTGGGGTTTTGTAAGCCATCCTGCTAACTTCTGTCTTCTGCTTACTATTTTTTATGTCTGCCTTGACCATTTATATTGTCTTGGGTGTGAATCCTGGGAGACCTGCTCCTTGCCTTGCAGGCCTTTCCCCATCTGGCCTGGGAGGGTGGGGCCCTGACTGACTCCAGCTACAAAAACTGAGGCTGCTGAACAGACTCTTGGGCTGGGGTACTGCTTAGCAGAGCAGGGGTTGTTGGGGATGTGTTGTTGCTGGTACTTATATTAATGTTTGTATCTTTATTTTACTTCTTTATTATGGTTTATGTGGAAATTGCTTAGTTTGGTTATGTATTTTAAAAACTTTTTTATTGATTTTGACTACTTTTGTTATGTTCTACTTATAGATTTATTTATTTTTGCATGTTGTAAGCCACTTTGAGCATGGTTTGAACTGTGGAAAGGGGGCATACAAATTAATTATCTATTCATGTCTATGATCTCAGGAGATGCTCCACCAAACACATTAGCACTTTAGGTGACGATGTCGTGCCCAGCTGGGTGCTAACAAACAGACTGTGATGTTGGTGTTTCAGGAAAGTTAACATCAGTATCACAAGGAGCTATAGTAGTGCAATGAAATCTCTAGGGAGCCCTCCAGACATTCTTTTTATTCTGCATTCATGATTATTATTGGTGCTCATGATGCTATCGGAGTGGTCACACATGATTCTGCATTCAATACTGTTTTGCATCTACAAACATGTTGGGGTGTTCACATTGCTTCACTTCCAGCCAGTACATCTTCAGAAGGCTTCTGCTGAAATCTTGTAACTTCTTATACCACAAATGTTCTGGTTTATTTTTGTTCTGCATTTCTTGAGCTTTCGCCTCTCAGATAGCAATAATGTGGCAGGATTGGGGAAGTGTTGCAGAACAGACCAAAGCAGAATAAGGCAACCGCTCATTCACTATTATTGTGTCAAAAATATGTTGCAGAATGCACCCAGAATAAAACACCAGACTGGAGGGTCAGGGTCTTCTTATCACGTCTCCTCCTACCAACCTGACTGGGCCATTTTCAGTAGAGAGGTTGAGAAAGTGGTTTTGAGCAGTATACGGAAGTGACAACAAAGGACACTCATTTTGAACTTTCTGGGTGATGTGTGAAATGAGAAATGGCACCTCTCCTCAGTTAGATGTGGCAGTTGGAAGAACATGTGCAGTTCACCAGGGGAGATGCACAAATATTGGCATTGCACGGTAGTCAGAATGTTGCACTTTAGAGGATTTCCTGTTCAGAATTCCAGCCACAGCTTTCCATGCCCTCTTCTCACTGCTCTTCACACACATCCAGTCAGCATCCCATGTTCACAGCATGCTAAGTCCACACTGAGGTTGTTTCTTGAAAGGTGCCTCTCTTCAGCCACCCCACCCTCTTGTACTTTTGCATACCTTGGTATTCTCACAGATCTGGTGATACATTCCTTTTGTGTACAGATGGTGCAATTTCCCCCAGTGTCATAGTCCCAATAATATTGCCCCCCACCACCACTTATGTTTTGCAAAACAGAAAGAGGTAAAAAAAATCTAACGGTGGATCACTTTAATGTCATATAGTTTCAACGCTGGTATACATACATTAGCACATTTTGTGTGGGTGCATATAAACAGCATTCTTTTTTAAAAGGTCCTTTGACTTTTGGTGTAGGGAAAATCCTGCATTTTAATTCTGCACATGTATTTCAAAAATAAGATAAAAACTGAGTGTCGTTGAAAATAAAAAAAAATAGGAAGTGCAAACCCATTCAATTAAAACTTCCAACCTAGTGGTTTTATGCAATACAAAGTTAATGGTCTGGCTTGAATTCCATAAAATAGTACATTTTTTATCATCTGCAATGGCTCATGGATCTCATATGAACATACCTAATGTTTCTGGAGCATTACCTTCTCTGAGGTGTAATCACAATGTGTATCAATAAAGATAAAATATTGTAGACCACTGATTCATGTGGATCAGTTGGAAAATACACAGACAGAAATCCAAATAATCTTACTTCTCTTCCAACATCTAAATTATAGACAAAAGTCACAAGAGTGAGTTTTATTAAAGAAGATGGATTAAAAATGGAACTATGACTATATACAATGGCCGACTAAACAGGCAGGGCTGTGTGGTTTCAAGGCACAGATGTCCGTACAAAAGAGGCAGGCTGAGTTTGAACCACAACAGGGCCAGACTGATACAGCTGAATAGCAACAAGGACTACCTGTCCCGTCCCTAACTTCTCCCATAATACCTTGCTCTGAGGAAGAACCCTCCCTCATAGTGGCATTTACTTCACCAATTGAAGGAGCTGTTGCTGGAGGAGAAAGAGGTAGTGGCAGGGTAGTCTGCCCACCTCAGATGGCAGAATGTCTTTTACTCTGTTTCCCTGTATATATAGTCTACAGAAAAGAGTGAATATGGAGAGGTATTGCTCAGTGTGCTAGAGAGACCATAGACATCAATAAGTTGGAAATCTTAAGTGCAACAAACCCTCAACGCACAATTGCACTCATTTCACACGCTAGCAAGGTTATGGTTAAAATTCTACAAGGCAGGCTTAAGCAGTATGTGGACTGAGAACTCCCAGAAGTGCAAGCTGGATTTAAAAGAGGCAGAGGAACCAGAGACCAAATTGCAAACATGTGCTGGATTATGGAGAAAGCTAGAGAGTTCCAGAAATACATCTACTTCTGTATATTGTCTCCCTGCTTAAATTTATATGCAGAATTCATCATGCGAAAGGCTGGACTTGATGAATCCCAAGCCGGAATTTAGATTGCCAGAAGAAATATCAAGAACCTCAGATATGCAGATGACACAACATTGATGGCAGAAAGTGTGGAGGAATTAAAGAACCTTTTAATGAGGGTGAAAGAGGAGAGCGCAAAATATGGTTTGAAGCTCAACATTAAAAAAAACTAAGATCATGGCCACTGGTCCCATCACCTCCTAGCAAATAGAAGGGGAAGAAATGGAGGCAGTGAGAGATTTTACTTTCTTGGGTTCCATGATCACTGCAGATGGTGCTAGCAGTCACAAAACTAAAAGACCCCTGCTTCTTGGGAGAAAGCAATGACGAACCTAGACAGCATCTTAAAAAGCAGAGACATCACCTTGCTGACAAAGGTCCATATAGTTAAAGCTATGGTTTTCCCAGTAGTGATGTATGGAAGTGAGAACTGGACCATAAAGAAGGCTGATCGCCAAAGAATTGATGCTTTTGAATTATGGTGCTGGAGGAGACTTTTGAAAGTCCCATGGACTGCAAGAAGATCAAACCTATCCATTCTGAAGGAAATCAGCCCTGAGTGATCACTGGAAGGACAGATCCTGAAACTGAGGCTCCAATACTTTGGCCACCTCATGAGAAGAGAAGACTCCCTGGGAAAAACCCTGATGTTGGCACAAGGAGAAGGGGATGACAGAAGACGAGATGGTTGGACAGTGTTCTCGAAGCTACCAGCATGAGTTTGACCAAACTGCAGGAGGCAGTGGAAGACAGGAGTGCCTGGCGTGCTCTGGTCCATGGGGTCACGAAGAGTTGGACACGACTAAACGACTAAACAACAACAACAAGGGTGTGCTTTGCCCCCTCACCCCAGACAAACCTCTAATGATGAGCCTTGAGGTGGAGGAGAAGATTTAATAGTGGATGGCATTAACCATCTTTACATTGACTGGGCAAATGCATATTTGGGTAGCGAAAATACAACATACTTTTCTAGCTACAAAATAAATTATGGTGTCTTAGCATTGTTGGTCATGGAGCTGACTAGAGTGGAGGTGACCCTTGACTTAATCCTAAGTGCTTTCACCCAGGACTACTGTTAGATGTAAATAAGTTTTAAAGTCATAGGAACAGAGATTATTTTAGTGTAATCTTACTCAACATATTCCTATGTGGACGGTTTCACCCAAAAGTATATAGTTGTATCTTGTTTCAAAATAGGAAGTTTCTAATAAATGAGGGGGTATGTTAAGAGGAAAATGAAAAGGAGAATCCGTGAGATGAAATCTAGGGGCTGGTGGATCAGTCTATGTCAATTTTGCATGTCTTCATTCATAAGTCATCATGTTTGCATATCAATTTGCTATTTTAAAAAATTACAATATTTATCACAAAATACACATTTTTGTGATGAAGTCTGGAATGCAAAGATACCATAAAATATCAATAAAGCAATAAAACCATACATAGTGCTAAAAGTGTATTTTATGCTATAATAGGCATTTTTGTACACACTGTAGCTTAAAGCATTTTCTATGTATTTTGGTAAGTTCTTTGAGCAGAGAAATGTATTGCAAAATTTGGAGAAGTGTGAAAACAGAAGGATAACTGTGTTCCAATTCGTGCAACAGTCTGTGAAATGCAAATTAGATCAGTTCACTGTAAAACATGGAGCAAACATAATGGTTAAATCCCTTCATGAAGCTTTGCAGCTCCTCAAAAACACTATAATGCAGGAATGTACAGATTAGTAAAAGCACACCCATATTAAAGAGGAAGCCAGCTTGGTTAACAAGCAGAGTCAATAAAGCTGTAAAAGGAACAATAATAGTCTCCCAATACTTGTGAGCTGCCTAATGTAAATGATGAAAAGGAGATTCAGAACATACAAAAGAAATTACCATAATCAACTGATGGAATTCACTGCCACAAGAGGGAATGGCTACTGTGTTCAATGACTTGAAAAGGAAAGCAGACAAATTCATGGAGGATAGATCTACTAATGGCTAATTCCCATGATTGCTAAAAGGAACTTTCCTATTCAGTATATCTCTGAATACCAGTTGGTGGGGGCAACTGCCTCTATATGCTGCTTTTGAGCATGGATGCAACCATCTGTCTGCTCTGGGAAACAAGATTTTAGACTAGAAAGACTCATGCTTGGTCAGATTTAGCAAGGATCTTCTGATCCAGCAAGGATCTTCTTATGTTCTGACAGATTTTACTTCCATTCCAATTTCTGCTGACCACCCCATCCCCACCAGTTAAAGCTCCCCATGCCACATATTGTGGTAGGAAATTCCAAGCTCTGTGGGAAGAACCCTGAGAAGGGTTATTCCCTGAGAAGCAGATTTTGGGTAGATGCAAGTGTCTGAAGCAGGAAGGGGATGGGAGCAGCCAGCCCTCTTGCAGAAGAAGAACGTCTCTCCTCGTTGGATACAGACTAGGAAATTTCAAGGCAAAGTTGCAGCGATAGCCTCCTGTCACTCGCAGAGGGAAAGGTAAGGGGGCAGTGAAGTCAGGGCTTTGGGGTGCACTGGAGGGGTCACCAGGCAGGCTCCTTCGGCACATCTGCCCAAGCCCAACCCGTAAGTAAATACCAGTGGCATCTAGGCCAGGAAGCTATTGTTGCATGTGTGTCCCACTGTGCAAGCCACTCCTCACAATGGTCTATGGTCAACATTTACCTGAGAATGCTAATACTGAACATGTGCTCGAATCTTCGTTTCACAATTTTCACTGCTGGAGTTCAGATTGTTGTTTCTGCAGTTGACAGTGCTCTACCTTCTTCTCTAAGCCTTAACTTTCGGACATTAAAGAAAGTTAGTTTGAATCATCTGCGGATATTTTCTGAATAGTGCCATCAGAGCTTTTAGAAGAGAGTCTTATTTTATAGATCACATTTCTCCTATCTTGTAGTCAGTAGGTTTGCTGCTTTTTGGCAGTATATTGATTAGGAAGTAATATAGGACTGTACAATTCAAGAATGAATTGTCCCCGTGTAGCTAATCTAAGTCCATCCGCCTGAGTCTCTGTCTAGCATTTATCTCAGCAGTGAGTCTTCCCCGTCTAAATGTTTGCCTGACTATTGTAACTTCTGTTGTTGCTTTTAATCGCCTTTCCCCCTTTATACTTTGATTATCTTTGCTGTTAAATTGTCTCTTCTTAACTCTGACTTTTTTCCAATAGGATTTAGATTGCCGGTTCACAACTCCCATATTTCAAAGTAAGAACATAATAAAAACCCTGCTGGATCAGACCAAAGACCTATGTACTTGAGCATCCTTTTCCACACAGAAGCTAACCAGCTGCCTATGGGAAGCCTGCAAGCAGTACATGAGAGCAATTGTCCTCTCCTGCTGTTATTCCCAAGCAATTTTTATTCAGAGGCCTCTCAGCCTGGAGGTATTATATAGCCATCGTGACTACTGATCGCATCATCCTCTGTGAATTCGTCTTATCTCCTTTGAGTAAGTTGGTGGTCCTCACCACAACTTGTGGCACCAGATTCTATAGTTTGTGCATAGAGGTTTCTTCTCTGGCCTGAATCTTCTATTATTCAGCTTAATGAGCTGACCCCAGGTTCCAGTTTGTTGGCATCCTCCTCTTTTGGGAGGCAATGTAAGAGTGTGCCATCAGGGATAAAGTCAAACTATTGGAGAATTACAGTGCCTGCTGTAGAGACCGATACAGGAGAGACATGCTTTATTGCAGGTAGGGGAGGTGAAGACATCTGGTTTTGCTGCTATAGGTGCACCATGGCATTTCTTTAAGTACAGTTAGAAGCAGATTATACCCCCCCCTTTATAAAAGAGATGCCATGGAATCAATCAACTCTAAATCAGCCACCAGTAATTAACTAGCCAGTGTACTGGTTAGAGAGTTGGAATTAGCATGGGAATAACTGGGCTTCAGTTCTTTTTTGGCTACAAAATCTTCTCTCAGCCAGCATACCTCAAAGGTTGTTGTGAGAATGGAGACCATATAGGCCATCCTAATAGAAATAGCTTCATTGGGATCATAGTATCGGGGAAGGTTTGAACTCTTGAACTCTTCCTCCCAATCATGGCAGAAAGTGAGATAGAGAGAGGTGGAAGCTGGTATGGGAGGGAATGTGATATATGGCTTCCATGCAGGAAGTAGAAGGTTCAAAAGATCCAGTTGCAAAAGATCAGATAGCAGACTATGGTGAAGACCTCTGCCTGAGAGCATGAAAGGTTACAGCTAGTTAGGCTAGAGAATACTGGGCTAGATGTGAAGAAGAAGAAGAAGAAGAAGAAGAAGAAGAAGAAGAAGAAGAAGATGGTTGTGTTGTGTTGTCTTTCTTTCAACCATCAGAATATTGGAAACTGTCTTATACCAGGTCAGACCAATAATCCATCTGTTGTTATTATTAATGGACCAATAGTCTGGCCTGGTATAAAACAATTTCCTACGTTCTTGAGGTTGAAAGAGGGACAAATCAACCTTTGATCCCTTTAGGTCCATTTTTACATACAATGCCAAAACTAGCATCAAAATAATCATTTATCCAGAATTAGGAATGGACAGATCAGCCTGTTTCCAGTCTGCATCAGTTTGGCATGTGTTCATACATTCACTCATATTAATCTACAATTTCTTTTTTTTTTTGGAAAAAAAATCTGTATGAAAATTCATATTTAAACAGTACTATTTTCTCATAAAATACACATTTCTAAGCATAATTTATCTTAAAAGAATTAATTTCTAAACTTATTCTAAAACATATGTGTTTATATCTGTTGTGGAAATTTGGGGGGGTTACATTGAAACATTCAGGAAAAAAATGTGAAATACAATACAGATAACTACATATTTCTTCAGTGTATGCTTATGTGGGCAGTGTGTATCAGAATTCAGAAAGAACTAATTCCTCAAGCATCCCTATTCTCAACTGGCTGTAGGCTATTTATGGCATGTTGCCAGAGAGGGATTATATTGTTTGCAGCATTGTTCTAGCAGCAGCAGCACACACACACACACACACACACACACACACACAAACACACACCTACTTGGTGATACGGTATCAGTTGAAAGTCCTCAATGAAACAATCTTTCCAGTGGAAAAGATTAAAAGAATCCAGTCTTCAGAAATTTCATGTTTTGTAATTTTTGACACCAACATTTACTTACAATATCGCTCCTTTAGAGTGTAAGTTTCTTCAAAGAAACCCAAACAATAACTCCTGCCGCGAAGCATTTATAGTAGGATATCCATCAGAAATCAGTTGACAAACTTATAATGTGTGCTCTGCAGATAAAAATGAAGCAAAGGCACTGCCTCGTATTTTCCCAGCATTAGCCTATCCAGTACCTGAAGATATATTTTCCTGAGCGTGTTATTCTTTAAACCAATGATCCAGTATTTTATACCTTGGGAACAGGTGGCTTAAAGCAAATGGTATTGACTACTACGGAAAAAGAGTGTGAATGTGTTATGAGGGAAGGGATGGGATGTTTAGGGACGGCTCTCACTGTTAAACAGCAACATAAGGAAACCAATATGTTTTCCTAGTTATTTCTAGTTCTGAATCTATTTATTGTATGCCATGCTTCTAGAACTAAACCCAGCAGTTCACTGGATTTCCTTCTTTCTCTTTCCTTACCTTGATTTATTTGTAGAATTTGTACCTCACTTTTCTTGCCAGCAAACCGAAGCAGCTGAAAAGAAACAAGTTAAGCACAGTTAGAAGTAGCACAGTGGTGAAACCTTTAGAACAAAAAGAACCCCCAGAAAACAGTGGCAGTGGGAAAGGCAACAGTACAAAAGCGGGTGAAAATTAATAGGCTGTATATAGCCAAGTCATTGGGCAAATGGAATGACTTTCCTTTTACAGTCATACCTCGGGTTGTGAATGCTGCAGGTTGACTGTTTTCGGGTTATGGACCGCGCCGAACCCGGAAGTACCGGAATGCGTTACTTTTGGGACTCCTACACTTGAGCTCTAGCACGTTTCCTTTGAGAAACCTTCACTGCAAATCTCCCTTCAGCAACCCCTGTTAATCATGTTGAATATCTTACCTGTTTATGAATAAATGCCCATCAACACCACGTCCAAGGCCATCTAAATTGATTTCACACTTCATCTCTATCTTCAGAAGCAGAAGTGCACTAATTACTGGAAAATGCAGACTGACAGAAGTGGTCAGCACAATGACGAGCAAATGTTCTACAAAGTGACACTTAGATTAGGGGCAAAACATCATGATTCAGAGTGGAATAAACAACAGGGCTAGATTCAAGTTCAGAAAGACGCCTACATGGTAATAATTGAAAGTAAGCAGGCAGCTGGAAACCAATATACTCCTACAAACAAAAAGATTGTAGCACGCTTCCAGATTTAGCACAATGGTCTGTGCACTGCTCGATTGAAGCCATCATGACAAAGCCAGGAGACAACCCTACATTCACCTTCAGTGAAGAAGCAACTATTAGCATTCCATTGCTTTCGGTATATACATGTATGCTGGGGGCTGCCGCTCAGCTCTCTCTGCTTGCCAATCCCTGCTCCCCATCTCAGTTTCCCTGCCCCAATCTCTCTCTCTATGACCAAGTCTCCTCACTCACTCACACATCTCAGTTGACCACAATGTGTTCCTTCTTCCTCAGCTTCCCGGTCCACAATATTTCCCTCACCCCTGGAAACCACCTTCTCTCCAATGCACAGCTTCTCACCCAAATGACAACTATGTATCTCCTCCTTGCTCTTTTGCAAGGGAGAAAAAGAGGGAGTAGCAGTGGCAGACCTACATTTTGGGGGCCCTGAAGCTCAAAATGTTATGGGGGCCCCTTTGCAATGAGGTCTGGGCAACCACTGTTATTTTCTTCAATTGGGTTGTTTACAACAACCTTTACAACATCTGTGTTATTGACTCTCAAACTTAGGGATTGTTGAAGTATATACAACAATAACAAAATGATCATTTTGAGTTGTGCAACTCCAATTGGGTCTACCAGACCCAATTTTTTAAAGCAATTAAAAACCCGCTACCAGCACTAGCACAAATTTTATATAGAAGTGTGCAGGTCAGCCTAACATAGCGGAATAGTATTGCAGGCTTACTGTTCTCCAAAGTTGTTAAAGTTAGATATATTATTATTATTGTTGTGTGTGTGTGACATACACACACACTCTGCTTTTTTCTGGGGGGACACAGGGGTGTTCCTTCCCCAAAACATTTTGTGAATCTTTGTACTTTTGTCCATTTACTGTACTTATTTTTCCAGATTTGAACGATAAAATTGTGATTTTCTTCAATCAAAATGAGAGTACCCCTAAACATTTTTTTAAAGAAAAAAAGCACTGTGTGTGTGTGTGTGTGTGTGTGTGTGTGTACCATAGTGACCTGGGGTCTTTGACTAAATACATAATTCTATTTTCTTCTTTATCCATGAAATTTCTTGAGTTTCATTCATCTTTCATTCATCTTCACCAGCATCTATGTGTTTTCCCTTCCTTTGCTATGGTAACAACACAGGTCTTCAGGCATGGCACAAACCCCTTGCCTGGCACACCACAAACCTTTCTAGCGAGTGTGGAGGGGGTTCTCCTGGTTCAGCTCTATATATGAAAGTTAGGTCCACACCAGCTAAAATTTTAATTGAGCAAGTCAGATTCATTATGACAAAAAAATGACACAATCAAATAAAAAAGCAGGGTCAAAATTAAGTGTGAAACATAAAAAGTTAACCCCTCCCCTCTCCAAGTTCACCAGTAACTGTCTTCCTGTACTTATGCAATCCTATTGATCTATCCAAATGCATCTTTTGCTCCAACTTTTGTTCTCTTCCAGAGCCACTTGCTGTCATGATATAGCACTAGAAGCAGAATGGGCTGTTTGTTATAAAATGTGAGTGCACTGACACACACTGTTTGGCTTTGGAAGTGAGATGAAATGGTTAACACTGAAAAGTCCTTTACAAAATTATGCTCTGTGAAGGAGAGAAAGAAGAGGATGACTTTATTGGGGCTCGAACAAAATATATGAGAAACGTGGTGCTCGTAGCTTGGACTTGAGCCTTGAACTTTTAATTTTTCCTTAGTGGACAAAGTACAGGAGATTAAAGCAATACCTTTTATTGGACCAACAAAGAGCTGCCAGACTTTGAGACCTGAAAGGTTGCATCTTCAGGGTTCACTTTATTGATCTTCCCTACTGTTCCTTGTGGATCAGATTGGCTGCAAATAAGTCTGTGTGCCATTGATGTTACCTTTCTTCCTTTGAGAGATAAGATTTAGTGTTTTTATTTGTGATCCTTGATGAAGAGAGTTCAGGAGCAGAATCCGTAGTGAGTTCAAGAATGCCTTTTTCTTCAAGTCTTTCGGAGTATATAAGGATCTTCTAATTAAGATTATGGTGAAAATGTTCAAATCTTATTTTTCTATAGAATTATAAAATGTATTTCAGCTGCTGGAATGACCCCTATTTTTCTCAGTAGCAGTTAATGTGTACCCAAATCACTGTTCCCATTTTGTCTTTTAGGAATGTTGTATTAAAATGTTGAACTACCCGGTGTCAACTCTCTCCAAGGTCTCTAGATATTAAATCTGAGAAGCAGGAAACTATTTGTATATACATGAACATAAAGGCACCAAATAGAGAAGGGATGGGGAGCCAGTGCCTCCCTGATTCTATTGGACTCCATCTCTGCTCATTCCCTGACTGTTGGCCATGCTGGCTGGGGCTGCTGGGAGTTGAATAATAATAATAATAAATTTTATTTATATCCCGCCCTCGCCAGCCGAAGCCGGGCTCAGGGCGGCTCACGGTGGCGAAGTCCAATATTAGGAGGGCCACAAGTTTACTATTCCTGATGTAGAGCATTGCTCACCATATCATACATGGAATCTGGTGATGTTTACTTTTGAACAATTGGCAGTAGATGCATTGCTAGGGGATGGCCAGGGGGTCTGATCCCCAGGTCATCTGTGGTGGACCCCAGATATTCCCTTCTTCTTCTTCTTCTTCTTCTTCTTCTTCTTCTTCTTCTAGCAAACTTTTATTTTCCTTTTCTTATAGGGAAGCTGGACACACTGCAGAGCAGAGTGCTGGTGAAATGCCACCTACTCTTTTTATATATATATAAGATATTTATTAAGATTTTCAAGATATTACAAAATAAAAACAGAAAAAAGAAAAACACAAAAAATAAAAATAGTTAAAAACAACTCAATTTTTCCATTACTTATTTTTCATTAGCTTGTTTCCCAGACCTCCTCACGCCTCCCTTTTTTGGATTCCAGTTCGGTTTGTTGGTTCAGCAAATCCTTCCCCTCTTTGTCTATCCTAATCATTAATCTTAAAATATTGTAACATTAAATTTTTACCTGTTAATAATCCATTTTTCATATTCCCTTATAGTATTGCAGCTAAAAACCACTTAATTTCCATCCAACATCATTCTAACATTCATTAATTTTGCAGTATTTCTGTAAATAGTCTTTAAATTCCTTCCAATCTTCTTCCACCGACTCTTCTCCCTGGTCCCGGATTCTGCCAGTCATTTCTGCCAGTTCCATATAGTCCATCACCTTCATCTGCCATTCTTCCAGAGTGGGTACATCTTGTGTCTTCCAATACTTTGCAATGAGTATTCTTGCTGCTATTGTGGCATACATAAAAAAAGTTCTATCCTTCTTTGACACCAGTTGGCCGACTATGCCCAGGAGAAAGGCCTATGGTTTCTTCAAGAAGGTATATTTAAATACTTTTTTCAATTCATTATAGATCATCTCCCAGAAAGCCTTAATCCTTGGGCACGTCCACCAAAGGTGAAAGAATGTACCTTCAGAAATGCCACCTACTCACCATCTTAATGTCCCAGAGACACCTATGAATTAGAATATGCACACTTGTTGTTGGCCTAGGCTCTCAGTGCAGAAGCAGATGGTGGGGCCCACAGACACAGCCAATCACACACCCCTTCATAGAGCTCCTTCTCTTTGTGGATGTTGATGATTGAACAACAGGAGATCCATAATAATAGATCCCTCACATCATGTCTAGGTGCACCCTTAAGCCAGCAAAGGATCTGGGCCTGTTACTTATCTTCTGCCATTACAATGATAGCTGCCATTACAACTGCTTTGCTCTTATCTATGAAAGAGGTGGGTGAGCCAACCATGACTGCAGAAAGTCTCATGTAAGAAACGATGGCCATTCTGATTTCTTTTTTATTGCTGAGTATTCCTTGAAGTGTTTCCTCCAATGCAACCATTTATGAACAGATTTATTCCTTTCCTGGTCCACTATGACCAATGTTTTGTAGAATGTTGAGCTTTGTGAAGCTTTGACAGTGGGAGAGGCAAATTTCCCCCTTTTCCCATTGAAGACAAGGCAACCTATGTGCTGGTTTTAGAGGGATGGGGAGAATACAGTTACCCTGACCCTTAAATATATATATATATATATATATATAGTTATTTTTTGCTTTTGAAAATGGCGTTTCACTTTCATACCTCATGTACCACCTGTTCTTACCAAAACGTTCTGTGCAGTAAATGTTTCCACTTCAAAGGTACTTTACAGAAATACAAGTATTCTATAATGCCTGGTAGTGCTCCTCTAGGCAGCAGGTAGAAGCCATTATTACATTCAGAAACATTACCATAATTTGACTTCCATACAGACCCCAAAATTAATGGACAAAATTGCTCACATATGACAGGCAAGTGGGCCCTGAGTGTGGTGTCGAAATGTTCATAAAAGCTATTGTAGTCACAGCCTGAATAGTTGTTGATAAAGCGTGTTCTCCTTCATGGAGAGCACGTGTTGCGGTGGGGACCGCCAGGACACTCCAAAGTTGGGGGGGCAGGCTAATTGATCGTTGGCCACTGATGCGATTGGGGCTTCCCTTGTTGTTGGGAAGAAGTTAATGTTGCCATTTATTGACTGACAGCCAGAAATACTAAAACTCCTTGCACGAGGCTAGGGCTTCCTCTTTTTGCCCGTGCATCGGATTGCCCGTCACTCCCTCCCTAGAATAGGGCTGTTCGCTTTGACCTTGCTATGCCTGTCATGGGGTCGTCTGCTTTGGAGTGGGGGCCTGGTAGGAATTTTGTCCATCTGACTGATTGGCTGGGGCCATTTGGTTTTTGCCTACTGCGTAGCAAATCGTCACAACTTGTAAGGTTCGCGGTTAGGCATTGGTTTATGGTTTGGTTGGTTGAGGGGCATGGATTGGCTGTGCCTGCCTCTCTAATGCTGCTGCTGCAAGGGATTCCGTTAAAGGAATTGGGGGCTAACTATTGCTTGTCCACTCTGTCAAGGGGGCTCGGGCCATAGCAATGAGCTCCTGGTTCCATTTGGGGTGAGGGCAGGTTCCCTGCTCCGCGTTACCCCCAAGTGTATTCCCCTATTCTGACTTTCGCATCTTGCGGAATGTCAGTCTGTCCCCCATGGTGGGGGCAGATAGTCGCAACCAATGCCTAAGCAACCACTCACAAATTTGTATTTTAATAAAGTTGTGGCCAAAATTATGCCAAAAATCTTAAACAAAAAATTCTGTGTGATGTGTGAGTTATTGGGGTGGACCTGGGGACCTCGACACGCAAGAAATGCATATGATAAAAAGTAATTTCCTCTTTTGAAGGGTGGAAATACCCTTGGAGGAAAAGGCTATCGATTGCTACTATATGCTACCTCCAGGTTCTGAAGAAGTATGAAACAATGGGAGAGGGCTATTGTGCTATCTTGCTGTTAGTGGGATTTCCATGGGCATCCCATCCTTAAGGCACTGATCCCTACACACTCTACTCATGTATACCCTTTACCCATGAGCAGCAGGCCCGTATAGAGCTATGGTGTATCATTTGGAAAGGAAATAAATAAACCTAAGTTTGTCACGTCCATTGACTTCAATCGCTCTACTCTAAGTCGGAGTAGCATTGGCTAAAGGTAAAGGTAAAGGACCCCTGACAGTTAAGTCCAGTCGCGGATGACTCTGGGGTTGCAGCGCTCATCTTGCTTTACTAGCCGAGGGAGCCGACGTTTGTCCGCAGTTTTTCCGGGTCATGTGGCCAGCATGACTAAGCCGCTTCTGGCGAAACCAGAGCAGCGCACGGAAATGTCGTTTACCTTCCCGCCAGAGCGGTACCTATTTATCTACTTGCACTTTGATGTGCTTTCAAACTGCTAGGTTTGCAGGAGCTGGGACCAAACAATGGGAGCTCAGCCCCACCCCCTATATGGGAACGTTGATGCAGGGGACATTTCTAAGATGAATGTAGCAACACTTGAGGTCTGAGAGCTTTCATTAATTGATTTCAGGAGTGGCTTGTCCAGCTGGCCTCATGGCAGCAGATTTGGTGCAGGTTACAGGGAGCGGGGAAAGGAAAGCCAAGTCAGAGCTGTGCAAAAACATTGGCAGAGCCAATCTGATGCTCCCACCAATGGCCCTGCACAGACCTGAGCTTGCCACTGCCTTGTCTGTCCCCAGGAAATGGCAGCATCAACACTGCCAGGGGGTTATTGTTGTGGTGTCACTCCACTGGTGAGCTATTTCTGATTTATTTTATTTTTACTTTTGTTTCTGACCTTTCCTACAAGGAATTCAAAGTGGCTGTAAGGAGGAGGCTGTAGCTGGAGCATGACTCTGCCTCTGTCACATCGTGCAATGCAGCACTTCTTCTGGCCCTGCCATATTTTCTTCCAGTTAGACCAGTTATAAAACTGGTCTAACTGGAAGAAAACACGGCAGGGCCAGAAGTGCTTCATTACAGACCCAATCATGCAAGGGGGGGGGGGGCAAATCAGGAGGAGATATTTGTATGCTCACACAGTAAACCATTAGTTATCAACAATTAACTATGGTTTATTGTGACGTGTGGCAACTTCCGGGGTGGCGCCATCGGTAATGGCGGATTCCCTCTGATCTGGAGGGACCAGCTCCATGGGAAACGGGTCTTTCCCGCTACAGCGAAGCGGGGACCCTTTCAAAAATCACAGGCGGATGAAGCCTGTGACCATGGGACTCGGCGGGCACCTTTAGCGCCCCCCCAACCCGCAAAGGAACCCACTAACGGGCTCCGGAGCGAAGGGGGGAAGTGGCGCGGTGCTGAGAGTCAACTGCTTCTTCCGTGGAGCGAAGCCGCACAGCCGTTGCCGGAGAGCGCTGCCTTTTCCTGGGACAATTTGGCTTCTAAAACAATCACCTGTGAGTACTTAAATTTCGGACAATTGGACTCTAAATAAGGACTTGCGTGCAGAAAGGAAAATTGGACTTAAAAGTTTATTTCAATTTGGCACTGAAACGGGAAGGTCTAAACAGGAAGTCAGCCTTCCGTTTCTTTGTAGATAGATTAAAGCAAAGACATGGCAAACTAGAGCTCAGAAAATCGCTTGTAAAGGACTAACTTTCATCATTTAAGATTGCTGAACCCCCTTCGGAAGCAGGAGAAGAGGGGGGATTTTTTTCTGACTGTTTAAACCTGCAGAAGTGAGTGTAAAGTAAAGTAACTTTCCACCGTCTTGATCCTGGAGCGGGGTGTCAGAAGTGACGTTTTTTGAAGCTCATTAACCAGAGACAAACGTTTTGACAGATAGCTAGAAGAAGAGAAACATAGTGATCCCATTGTTCCCCTTCGCATTTTAAAGGAACAAATATTGACAAAATATCTGAAAAAGGAAACTTTGTTGTTAGATTTGTCTTTAAAAGAAAAGAACAAATAGAAGTTTTCCCCTAGAGGAGCCTGTGAAACTGTAACTAATTCTGAATCGGGAGCTTGCAGCTGTTACAGATTACGATCGTGGGAATAGACTTCTGACCTTGCAGGACAATGTATTCAGAAGCTCTGCTGTGTGCTCTCTGTAAAACAAGTGCCCTACTGGAACAGCTACATGAAAAGACGGACTTGATGACTGATGCAATCAAAAATTTTGAACAGACAGTGGGAAATTATATGGAGCCCTCTCAGGAATTAAATCAGGAGTGTGCCCTGACAGAACAGATGAGGGAAGAGGATGTTGCTGAATCTTGGGCGCCAGAGATGGAGGGAGCTGTGGCCCAGCAGGAACATGAGCTCTTGGATTTGACAAATGAACTTGGAAAAAGCCAGATTTGGAAAGATAAAGTTTGGTTTGGTTTGGAAAGGGGGGGTTGGATAGACCCCCCAGTGCAAGGATGTTTGGACTTTTCAAGTCTGGCAATGGGCTGTGAGATGTTTGGGGTTGTGGGGGCTCTTAATTTTGGAGAGACTTTGAAATATGTTCTTAAATACCACATGGAGTTTAGTGTGGACTATGGAAAAGGGGCTGATTTGTCGAGAAGGGTCAAAAACATTGCTAAGATGGAGTTCCCACGAGTGAAAGGAGCAGGAGACAAAGGAAAATACAGTTATAAATATGAAGAAGAGCCGCGGAAGGGACATGGAAGGGACTTAAGGGCCTCGGATATAAGATTACCAGGTTAATGCGCTAGATTGATGAGATAAAAAGGACTGACAAAACCCGGGACCAGGAGGAAGAGACGCTGGATGAAGATTGGATTGTTTTTTTATTTCTTTTTTATTATTAGGACTGTTTTATAAAATTGATGAATGTTAGAAAAATGTTGGAACGAAATTATTTGGCTTTAGCAAAAATGTTTAAAGAACTATGTAAGAATAATATGGTTATGAGAAGTTGGTAAAAATAAGATTTAAGTTTTAGGTTTTAAGGTTTTTTATAGTAAGATAAGATTAAAATAGATTAAGGTAATGTAATGACAGAATATTATGAAATATGGAAAGGATTTGTGCGACAATTAACAACTAGGATACAAAAAAAAGGGAGGAGGAGGAGGTCAAAGAAAGAAGGTAATGACAGTTAAGGATTTGAGAATAATGGATTTGTTTTTAAATGTTTGTGGTATATTTTTGTCTTTTGATCGTGTTGTGCTATTTTTTGATTTTGATTATTGTTAATTTGTATTGTTTGATGTGGTTTGTTTTTTCTTTGTTTTTTCTTTCTCTTTTTCTACCTTGTTTTCTTTTGTAATTCTAAAAAATTTTCAATAAATATCATTTAAAAAAAAAAAGAAAAAAAATATTGTGACATGTGAATGCAGTCATTGTTTCCATGCTTGTAGGCAAAGGGTCATGTAGCTGCTGCTTGGTGACATGTTTGTTAGCAGAAATGATCCCTTTCAACATTTACCTGTATGCACTATGGCTATAGGCAAAGTAGAAAAATGCAGATTATGACAGGTCAAAAGCTATGAAAATACCTCTTGAAATGTGGGGAACCCATAAATGTGTGTGTGTGTACGAGCGCGTGCAGATCTGTGTATATATCTATCAACTTATAACTGAAATATACAGCAAAACATGGAAGTAATGCAGTGATTTGGGAATTAGTTATTATTTACTCAGAATAATGAATATACAGTTTCGTACTGCTTTATGTTAATGAAACATGAATTAAAACTGCATTATGCTGAAATTGCTGCAGCACATCTACATTAATATCAAATGAATTCATTATGACCAGCATAGTTACAATGAATACTAAATGAATTAATAATAATGAACCATGTTAAGTGATATCTAATTGTTTTATTTCATTTTTATGTATATTTTGTCCAGATTTAACTGTTAGGTTAATAGGGAATGGCATTCATTAAGTCATTTCCCTGCCAAGCTTTGGCAAAGGGCACTTAGTTTCACACCACATCCTATGTGCACTGCGCATCATTCATCTCTGCTCACCTCCCCCCACATACACTTTCAGTCAGGGAAAGGATTCTGCTCTAAGACTGGCGGGAAAATAGAACAGTACTAAGGGCCAAAGAGCCAAATAATGTTTATACTATTGTGATTTTAATTGTTTCATCTATGACATTTTTATCTTGCTCTTACTAAGGGACTCACAGCTGGTGGAATTTCCCCTGTTGTAAAGAATATAAAACCATTCCTCACATAAAGCAGTGGTAACGTCCCCTCACTGGTCTCTTCGCTGATATGCACAGAAGCAACTTCTATTCCCTCTTCTCTCTCTCTCTCTCTCTCTCTCTCTCTCACACACACACACACACACAAAGAGAGAGAGTACCTGCCTGATTCTCCATTTTGTTTTGGCTTCTCCACTTGCCCCCACTTAAAGGGATTCCACCCTCACTACCTTCTCCCTGTTCTGGGGGTTTTCAGTCTGGGTTGCCTTCCTGTGGAACACCCTGTTTGGTAGGAAAGTGTATCGTGTAGGCTCTCCAGTATGGGAGCGATTCAGCTCGCATGCACAGCAGCTGCCTGGAATAAGTTTACCCCACACAGAATGCATGTTGAGCAATGTTACACCAAACAGACGCTGGAAATGCAAGAAGAATCGATTCCACTCTAGGGAGTCCACATTGTGTGCCTTCCTACGCACCCCAAAGTCCAGTCCAGCGGGAGGGCAGGGGTAGGGGGTGGTGCAGCCAGCTTTGGTCTGGAATGGTGGACTCCTGAGAATTTCTTGGCCAGAGTCTGACTTGGCTAACGGCCCTGTCCCTGGTAGTCGAGCTTCTAAAAACCATTATGTGAACCCCACAATTAGAGTTCACAATGAATAAAGTGAGCAAGCATTCTCTCTACCACCCAGCAAAATATTAATTGCATGACATGTATCTGAGTTCATTATACACAACCATATTTTCACATGTACATTATTTCCCATGGTAAGAGAAGCTTTCCCACCCTTGTAGATGTATTCCTTTTACGACCTCATATTGCAATACCGGGTTACAGATCCCAAGCTGGCAACTGTGGGCTGGAATTTCCCAGTTCTGCATTTCAGTGTCTCCATTTTTTATTTCCTTACTTTAGGGTTGTTTACATTTCCCTTCTCTTAACTGACTTAACTTCTCACTTAACTAACCAAGTTTCTAGCAATTAAATTTTTCTCTGTTTTTATTGTCTGATAATTACACAAGTGCACACTGTAAATGCATATTTCCAGCTGATATAAGTATGCTACTAAACAAAATGTATTATCCTCTTTTGAAGCACTGCTGTGGAAACATTTCTTTGGGGTCTCTGTCTCACCTATTCCCCATCCAGTTCATAATAACAGAAGTTGGGAGTTAGACGCCCACTTCTTCCTCTTTAATAGTCCCCCTCTTTCCTTTTAAAAAATGCATTGATAAGAAACACATTATTTCACCCTTTCCCCTTTATCCCTCCCCTCCCCTTTCCTTTTTCTTTCCTATTTTTGTTTTATACAACCTTCTTTCCCATCCTTCCCCTTTTTTAATTATTCCCTGATATTACTTTCTATATATCAGACACAGGACCTTCAGAGAAATGGTGTAACGTAGAATGTTCCTACAAAAAACCAGCCAGCCAGCCATGCTCTTTCCTGGGAGATTCCATTCCATTCCCTACCCAACTTGGCTTTTGTCCCATTCCCCCTCCTCTGCCCTGACGTTAGTCCACAGTCCATGACCACTGCGACTACTCAGTCCCCATCATTTTAATCCCCCTTTGCCCCCTGGCGAAGTATTTTTCCATTCTGTGAACTTTGGGGGTTACATGAGCATGCCGAGATCTCTCACTTGTTTCTCAGTAGGCCCATTTTGGCTAAATAGCCATCAAAACCCAGTACCTAAATTTGATTCTGGAAAGTATACAGAATGATGATACAGTTTATGTAATATTTATATATTATACCTTCCTGAGTACATGGTGCATAACATTCTGTTTGTTATGATGTAATGTCCAACTATAACGTTAAGAATATTAAGAACTGCTACCACACCCTCCAACACTTTGAAGGCAAAATCTGGGGCACCATCTTCCTAGATGCCATTTTCCCTTTTTTTATCACAAGAGCACGGTAGCCATTTTGGCTGTCGTGATCTTGCACGATTTCATACCCAGGTCCCCCAGCCCAAAAAGTGCTATTTCAGGCATGGTGCCCAAAAATGAGCAATTTGGGGTGCCACTCAATATTATGGCCCCGAGAAAAGTACTTGGGGGAGGAATTGCGCCAGGAAATCACACATGATCAAGGCAACCAAAATGACCATCATTTCCTCACAATAAAAAATGGGATGTCCCAGTTTTTTCAGGACACTTGAAGGGAGTAGCCATGATGACTATACTCTACATCTACTGTTGGAGGCCAGTATACCAGCTGTAGGGAATCACAAATGGGTTGGCCTTTGTAAGAACAGGATTCTGGAACAGAGGGGCCTTTGGCCTCATCTAGGAGGAATTCCCCTATGTTTTTGACTGTAAATTTAGCACAATTCATATTTTCAGCAATTCTGAAACAACCCTGCCCTTTTTTTTTCTTTTCTTTTTTTGCACTTCCACAATTTTTTAATTACATGTATATCCCTTTTGCTCGGGGTGGTCCTTCCCTCCCATCTGATCCTCACAACACCCCTGTGAGGCAGGTTGTGATGAGAGGCGGTGATTGGCTCAAGGTCCCCTAGTGAGCTTCATTGTCAAATGGGAATTTTAACCTGGAGATCCTCTGGATTATTAAGGAAAACAGAAACCCTAAGCCAACACAGAAAGTTGGCAAAAGCCCAAGTCTCCCACACAGGGACAATAGCGTCTACTAAAATAACAGTTTTCTGCTTGCTCCTTTAGTGAAAGTTGCTAACTATATGGAAAGAGGCTTGGGCATACAAAAGGTGTATTTCTTGCTCCAGCTTACCTAATTATACTTGCCAACAGATCTCTGAATATATTTCAGAAGTAAGTAGTCATTTCAATTATTGTGCTTTGTAGCACATTTAAAGGCAAAATATTAGATCTGCACTATATGAACACCTAATAATTTAAAGGAAGCAGCTTGCCAGGAAGAAACTAGTAAGGCATTAGGAATCACAAAAGCACATAAAAGCAAACTAATAAATGGAGATTATGGTGGCTGAACGCCAAATACTTCCTCTACATCTCCCACTTCTCATGTACTTAAAAGTGAGCGCTTGTAGTTAGGCTTTTGTATAACCTGGGCCTGGCTTAGTAGTCAAATTGTTTAACCCTCCATGTTCCTGTTCTTTTGAGCCTGGATTTAGGGGCTTGATTGAGATGAAAAGAAATTTTAGCTGTAGTCAAATTAGATCCATGTCGTTCCTCCACTGTAAAGCCCTGGAATCTTGGCTCTGCTTTTTGTGACCCTTTACCCTTCAATTTTGCAAATGTTTTTAAATCACCTCACATGGCGCAGCATATTGTGTTTCCATAAAAAGCCACTTATTATGTTAATCTGTTTACTTGGGACCACATTTTATATATTTTCCCAAACATGAGGCTGGCTGCTGTAAGTGAATCATATTAGTAATGTAACTGAGAATAATCTAATCCTAGAAGTAACTTTGAGAAGCTGTGACCTGCATGAAGACGTGGTGTTCTATTTATATTTAATGCTCTTTTGTAGACATAGACTTGGTGTAGTACTTTATCTGCCCCCAAATGCAGAGACTTACTTCAGAATCCTATAAATTGCATCATTTGTAATGGGTCTGGTGGCAATGGGGATGACACCCCAATAGTAAACCCAAGATAAAAGATGGGATCCAAATAATCCAATTTGCAAATGAATAGCATTTCTGTGTGTGTGTGACAAGGACGTCAGAGAAACCATACTTTATATATTTTCCCAGATAACCTGATTTTATCCCAAACCCCTCCAGTTCCTCCTCCTCCTCCTCCTCCTCCTCCTCTCTCTCTCTCTCTCTCTCTCTCTCTCTTTTCTCTATGTCGTGTCAGGCCAGAAAGAAAATTTGGGAAATGAGGCATCCCTTGTCAAATAAATGCTTCTACCCCATACTGGCAAATAAATGTCAACCAACAAATTACTAGATGAACAGGTACATGGAAGATGATATGGTGTGTCTTTTCTCCAGTTATGAATCATTGTATTTCATCTCTAAATATAGTATTTTGACTCACTAGTATACCTGGGTAGGCTGCAGATCCTGAGCTTTCTTAGTCAGCATTTCTTCAGTCACTTATAGATCCATGGCATCTCCTTTTTCTTCCCTCGATTGCTGTTTGAACGAAGCAGTTTGAGAGCCACAATTCCCCATATTATGAGTGCAAATCATTTTATAATCATAATTGAAATAAAACCCAGAATCTATTTGATGGGCATCCATCAGAAAGATATTAAACAACGACACTGAAAACAGCGGCAGAACCATCTGATTTAATCCACTGCCTCAGAAACTGTCCTCTTACCATTACTTTTGGCTTTCACATACTTGTGACAATTTCCACCATCCCTGTGGGTCCAAAACAAGTCTCTGTATCCAACTACCATCAGGCACTGGGGCTGAGGGCAGCAACTACAGCATTAGAGACAACTAATGATAAGACAGCATTGGGGGGGGGCGGTACTGGCTCCAGCATTAGATGCCAGCATGTCTTACATGTTATCCTCCTAGTTAGGATATTATAGAAATATTGCATTGTGTACTCAAGCCACAATGTGTCCCACAAGTGATATAAACAGTAAAGGTAAAGGGACCCCTGACCATTAGGTCCAGTCGTGACCGACTCTGGGGTTGCGGCGCTCATCTCGCTTTATTGGCCGAGGGAACCGGCGTCCAGCTTCCGGGTCATGTGGCCAGCATGACTATGCCGCTTCTGGCAAACCAGAGCAGCACACGGAAACGCTGTTTACCTTCCCATCAGACCTATTTATCTACTTGCACTTCCTCTTAATGCGTTTCTCCCTATTGTCCTGAGTTTGAGCGTCTTCAGAGTCCAGCCTCTGGTAAAGGCTGTTCTCCAATTGGAGCGTTCGCAAGCTAGTGTTTCCCAGTTGTCATTGTTTATACAGTGGTACCTCGGGTTACAGACGCTTCAGGTTACAGACTCCACAAACCCAGAAATAGTACCTCAGGTTAAGAACTTTGCTTCAGGATGAGAACAGAAATCATGCTCTGGTGGTGCAGCGGCAGCGGGAAGCCCCATTAGCTAAAGTGGTACCTCAGGTTAAGAACAGTTTCAGGTTAAGAACAGACCTCCAGAACGAATTAAGTTCTTAACCTGAGCTACCACTGTACTACATTATTTTTAGATTTGCCTTGAGAGAGTCTTTAAACCTCTTTTGTTGACCACCAGCATTACACTTTCCATTTTTAAGTTTGGTATAGAGTAGTTGCTTTGGAAGACCAGTCCAGAGGGGTGGGCCTGTCTGTGAGCTATGGGGACCAGTAGATCTCACTTAGTGTACGGCAGCTGTCTATGTCCTTCCTATTCCTCCATTAACTTTAATAGGGAAGTAGGAGGCTACCTTACACTGAGTCGGAATCTTGGTACACCTAGCTCAGCATCATGCACACTGATTGGCAGCGACCCTCCAGGGTTTCATATGGGGCAGATGCTAAGGATTGAACCAGAGACCTTCTGCATGCATAGGAGGTGCTCTACTACTAAGCTAAAGCCCTTCCTGTGCCACCATTTATCTCTTCCTTATTCCTCTTGCCTCTCTACCATTTGTATTTGTGATTAATATCTGTGCGTTTCCCCCCTTTTGCTTTCATTCATGACATCAAGGCTAAAATTAAGATTTATCCTTCAGGAGGAAGATCTGTCTTCCTGAATCATCTGTGAAGAGCTTAGCTTCCTTCCTCTCCCCCCTCCCACCCTCCCATCTTTAACAAAATAAGATGTCAATTACATAACTTCATAGCCCCAAGTCAAGCAGAGGATAGCGGGTAGGGTGGGAGAGAATCCAAGTTCCTCTGACCCAACTGTGATGGCAGCAGCACATTTAGACATGCTTCTCCGCAGGATCCTTCCGTTTCCACCCAAGGAGCTGCCAATCCCGACTTTTGAGAAACAGATGAATTAGCTGATATATTCTAAAAAGGAAATGAAGTTGAAGTCACCCTGGCCAGTTTCCACTTCAGCCACCTAAGCCGTGATTAGAACTGCTTTTCTCAGTCTGTTACACTTTGTATTCATTCTGCCGCCTCAGTTGTGGGGAGTGCTGTTGGAATTGGCACAAGTAGTAAAAGGATGAGAGAAGGCAAGCCATTAAATGACAGAGGAATTTCCCTTTCCTCTGCAAACTGTGATAATAATTAAAAACAAAAAATATATATACTGAACTGTGCCCTCAACCAAATGCAAACTGAAAATTTACATGAAAATAGACTAAAGGGAATATGAGACAGAGATGGATTCATCAAAGTAGATCTTTCCCTGCAGCTTCTGAATTTAAACTAACTCCACTCCTGTTTCTTATTTCTCTAAGTTTAATGAATACTAATAAATAGCACTAGTGATTATTACTCAATTGCTGTGTAGGTGTAGATAATACTATGATTTTCTATTTATGATGAATCATTTATATATGCATAAATATACACACCTTCACTACTTATCACAAGGAGTCCTGTCAATTTTCAAGGAGATATATATGAGGATGCCTTTAGAAGGAAACACTGCATTTGAAGTATTCCACACACACCAAATTTTTTTTTTGTTGCTTTCATCAACATCTTTCCACCAACAATATTAAATTCAGTGGTCTCAGATCAAAGCTGGTTTCCAAGATTATTTTTCCTTTCTATCTGCATACATCCAAATTTTAACAATGAATCCTTTGCCTACATGCTACATTCATAAAAAAGGCCCTTAGATATATAGATATAGCTGGATAGATTGCTACATTATTTCAGAAATAGAGCAATTATTTTAGAAGCTCTTATTGCCAAGGAACTGCTCCACTTTATCCATTAATGGGCTGTGGGATAAAGAGCTCTGAGGCAACTTCCCAGGGATTCTGATATGTTTATTTATGTGAGCAATGTGAAGGATCATGCATGGGGAGTGTTACTGTCTGGAATCCGCCTTGCCTGGCCCCTACAAAGGCCTGCATCCGAGCAGGAGACTCACTGCTGACCCCGCAGCTGCTGGGCCTCCTTCTCTTCCTCCTTCCTCCTCTTCCTACCTGATCACCCTCCTTCTCCACTTGCATTGACAGTGACAAGAAAGATCAGCAGCCTCCTTCTGCTGCACGTTCCATCAGTGGAAGGATTTCTGCTTGTGCAACAGAACATTCCCTCCCTGCACCCCCAGTGCTGTTCTAGGGGTTCTTCCCAACCCCCTGGAGTAGATTTAGGAAGGAAACATGGCGCAACTGGGAGAGGAATTGGGGAGAGAGTCCTGCTGCACAAGCGAAAACACTTATTTTGGTGTGACAGGCTAACCAAACACCAGTGGCGTAGCGTGGGGGTGCAGGGGGGGCCGGCCGCACCGGGCGCAACATCTGGGGGTTAGGGTTAGGGGGCGCAAATCCACGGGTGACAACCCACGCTACGCCACTGCCAAACACCACCCAGAATATAGAATATATTATATAGAAAGGTGGCAGAATTAACACTGGCATCAATTATCCAAACTCAGTTCGTAGAATCTTAGAGTTGAAAGGGACCCCAAGGGTCATCTAGACCAAACCCTTGCAATGCAGGACTCTCAACGAAAGCATCCATGACAGATAGCCATCTGACCTCTGCTTGAAAACATCCAAGGAAGGAGAGTCCACAACCTCCTGAGAGTCCACAACCGCCAGTGTCAAACAGCTCTTACTGCCATAAATTTATTCCTGATGTTTAGTCACAATTTCCTTTCATGTAACTTGAATCCATTGGTTCCTGTCCTATCTTCCAGAGCAGGAAGAAACAAGCTTGTTCTATCTTTCATGTGACAGCCCTTTCGATGTTTGAAGATGGTTATCATATCTCCCTTCAGTTTCCTCTTTTCCAGGATAAACATACCCAGCTCTTTCAACTGGTCCTCATAAAGCATGGCTCCTAGACCTTGATCTTCTTGGTCACCCTCCTCTGCACATGTGCCAGCTTGTCAATGTCCTTCTTAAATTGTGGCACCCAGAACAGGACACAGAACTCCAGGTGTGGTCTGACCAAGGTAGAAGAGAGTGGGACTATGACTTCCCTTGTCCAGAACACTATGCTTCTTTTGATGCAGCCTAGAATAGCATTAGCTTTGGTTTGGTTTTTTGCTGTTATATTACACTGTTGACTCATGTTGAGCTTTTGGTCTCCTAAGACACCTAGACCCTTTTCAATGTATGAACTACTAGCAAACTAGGTGCCCTCACCTTATATTTGTGCATATGGTTCTTCCTGCCTAAGTTTAGAACCAGACATTTATCGCAACTGAAATTCATTTTGTTAGTTTGGGTCTGGTTGTCCAATCTGTTAAGGTCATCATGAATCCTGATTCTGTGCCATTAGCTACCCCTCCCAGTAGCTGAGCTGGCCCAAGCCTGGGTGAGCGAAAATGAGCCTTTGAAACAGAGTTTGATTTACACCAGCTTTTATGCCAGTGTAAGTTCTGCTGACTTGCCAGGTCATGTGACTGAAAGAGGTTTGGAGTAGGTGCCACGCCTCTTCCATATCCCCAGAATGCCACTTTTGGGGGACTTTTGTCAGCTTAAGGTCAGCTGTCTTAAATTCTGCTGGCAGAGCCCTGGCTGAGGCGGCATAAGCTCTGGTTTAGCAGAGTTGAGGGAGTTATCCTGACAGAACTCTGTCTGACAGCCCAAGACCCACCTATTGAAAATTTGCTCATCCTGGCTGATCCCAGGTTTGGATTAGACTGTAAATTTGTGAGCATTTGGGTTTGGGTTTGGGTTTTTTTGGCAAATATATACATATGACTGATTAATATTCTACAGACTTTTAAATGTGTCTGTGGGAAGGGGGGCTATTATTTTGCTGTTTTGTTTTACTTATTTAATCCTTTTTTAAATTATGTGAGCCGCCCTGAGATATTATGATGAAAAGCGGTATATGAATCTATTTTTTAAAAATGTAAATAATAAATTAATTTATTGAGATTTTAGAGTTATACAACAGTTACTTTAAGTAACCAATTCAACAACAAAATTCCCACTAATTTTGCATCTTGAAGTATTTACAGGGTAGTTTGGGGTATATATGTAACTTTGTTACATCCATGCTTTTGTTTACATTTTTGCCTTAATTTATTTTCTTCTTTTCTCCACAGGATATCTCATTCCTGGACTGTGTTATCTTAAAACTTCAAAGAAGCAAAGGAGAAAACAAACCAGCAAAGAACGCATAGAGGCCTGGACCTCAATGTTTAGCTGTGGAGACCTGCAGGAGATCTGCAGCTTAGCTGTGGAGTCAGTTGGGCTTGAGCAAGCCACTTCCTTTCAGCCTCAGTTTTTCAATCTTTAAAATAGGTATTGCAATAGCTACAAAGTAGGCCAGCTGTGATTGTGGTCAAAGTCTGGATTGTAAAAGAGACCTACGTGTGGGAACAATTTTTAAAATTACAGAGCTGAAAATTCAATTTTGTGCATGTATATGTGTGCATTTAGACAGATAGCAGCAGCAGTGTGCTTGATTGGTTACCGAAAGCTGCTTCTTTGTTCAGAGCTGATATAACTTCTGCTCCCACCACCCGCCATTAAAGCAGAAAAGCAAGCATGTTGGATTTAAATCCAGCTGCTCATATAACAATTGCCTATGGATCATATTTAATACTCATATTTATTATATAAGTATGTGCATATACAAAACAAAACCCAGTGTAATTTTTTAACTTAGATCTTTTTAATAATAAAAAAAGCAACTGTATAAGGAATACTGCTAAGATAATGTTTCCCTTTTCCACGCACAGCTAGATAAAGCCTATCCCCCCCCCTTTTTCTCTTTCACACACACACACATGAAAAATCTCTCTTTAGTTACTTATTTCTTTTCCCCATGGTCAGGTTGGCTGCATCTCCAAACACTTGTAAGTACTGTATGTTCTGTCATATCCTGAAGTCATGCATTAGCACCTTTTCATTCAGCAAAGGGTGAGAACAGATATCTTTTGGCAGCTGACAGCAGGGAGCAGGCAGAGAGGAGGGGAATGGAGCTGTAGGACTAGGACACTGTGGTGGCCTAGTGGCTAGCATGGCTAATGTACCAGCTGTGAATAACCTCTTTTTTCTTATCCCATCCACCCAACAGATGTCTCTCTGTCATTGTCATGTCCTCAAGCTATCCTGGTAAATGATTTGTGCATTATAAGTGAGTCACCAAGGTGGCAATTGAACCTCTTCACAGCTCAAAATTGTTGATGTGTGCACTGAGAGTGAAGTGTGAGTGAGAGAGAGGGAGGGAGGGAAAGAATGAGAATGAAAGAGGGGAAAATAGGGAGGGAGGGGAGGGGAGGAAAGAAGGAGGAAGAGGGAAATGTCAAGGTTACCTTGTTTTGCCTGGAGAATCAAATGGGAGGGCAAATTAACTCCTGGCTCTGCTTGATCTTTCGGATCTCCTTGACAGAGGCAACCCCTTCCTTCCTCCCTTCCTACCCGAGCAGATGTAAATATCACTTTGAAAAATTAAAAAATGAAGAATGCAGCGATCTGTATTGTGCGCCTGCTTTGGTACTGTGGGAAGAATGTTAATAAATATACAGAGAGGCTGCAAAGTTTGCCAGTATAAATAATGTAGCATTTCAAAGTGTGTCAGTAAATGTAATTGAATTTTTCAATGTAAAGATATAGTTTGGTTATAAATTGGAGTCATGCTTGACATTAGTTGGGCATTAGGAGATATTAATTAGATACTACTCACTTCTTTTCGGTTTCTTTTTTTCTCTGTTAAATGAATAATCAGGAGACAAAAAAAATTGCAAGCATGCAATTTAGAGATTTTTTAAAAAAAAACTTGAAAGCAAGCTGCTTGGTAATTGTTAGTGGGGGTAAATAAATGTCTTTTTAAAAAAACCTTGTCAGTGTGCCGTCTCAAACATGCTCTCTCCAATACTAACACAATACGGAGAAGCTAATCCATTATAATACTTTGTAATGATAATAAGATACGTTGAACAAGTAGCCTAGGGAAAAGATAGTAATAGTCACCTTAAGGCAGAGGAAGAATAGCAAGCAACTGTACACTTTTACAGGAGGCTGATGACAACATTTCCTGTGACTTTGAACTTACTTTGGCCATCTCTGTTCTGGCAACAATTCTGCATATCAATCAGACTGTGATATTTCTTGCCTGACATTTGGAACGTAATGTCTAAAAATTTACTTATGTGATCTTTGCCTGTTGGCACCCTGTTCATATGTAAATATATTAGTCGGGTATTTGCCTTATGCTGGCAATGCTGCCTATAGCTCTTGTGTGGGGCTATCATGACCTCCATATATCTAGCAAATGCTGGCTATATTTCCTCCTTGTTGCTGATCATCCAGCAGCACTTCATCTTGTTAATCAGGCTGTTTTGTTGCCTCAGCTAAGCACAGCACTTGCTTTCCTTCCTTCTTGTATGATTTACTTGGGTGGTATCTTATTAATCCTTCTATGTTTATCCATAGTGCATTAGTCTAGTTCCCAGTCTTTTACTCCACAAGTTTGCACCATGCTTATTTTTTTTATCCCAAAGTCAAACAGGATTTTCTCCCCTTCACTTTTTCTTACTCCTTTTTTTGACCTTGTATTGGGTCACTTATAATCCAAAGCACCCCTTCCCTGCTTCCCTCTCATGAAAGCAGTATGACAGATTAGATACAGGTTGCAAAATCCCTTTTAGGGCATTCAAGCAAGGGTTTGCTCTTGAGTACTTTGTGGCTTTTCACCTCACAGCACCTCCTTCCAATGTGTCAAAAGCAGCTGGCGAAACGCCCTCTGTGTTTCACCAGTGGTTTTTCAAGGAGCTTGGAAGGGCCGCCCCAGAAAGAGGGAGTTTAGAAATCCTGCTGCATCGTGCCTGGGAGGAAGGGCTTAGAGATTCTGAATACTGAATAGCATATAAATGCCTGAAATAAATACCTAAGCTTGTGTTGAAATTGCTGACACATCTTGCATTAGCTGTAGTTTCCAAACTTGTCTTCAAAGGCAGCCCTATGTACAATGCATTGCCGTAGTCTAACCTGGTGGTAAAGTCTGTTGCATGAAAGCGTTCTTGGTTCACGGGACTTCCGGGTTAGCGCCGTCGGCGAATGGCGGAGTTCCTCCGACTGGAGGAACTGGCTCCGTGGAAACTGGGTCTTCCCGCCGCGGCGAAGGTGGGGACCCGCTAGAAATCCCAGGCGGAGGAAGCCTGGGAATGTGGGGTTTGGCAGGGCACCAGGAGTGCCCCCCCTACTCACGGGGAACCCCATTTTGGGGTTCCGGAGTGAAGTGGGGTGAGCGGCACGGTGCTGCGAACTGATTGCTACTTTCACGGAGTGAAGCCGCACAGCCATTGCCGGAGAGCGCTGACTTTTTCCTGTGGACAAATGGATTTAAAACAAGTACCCGTGAGTAGAAACGGAAAATTGGATCAAGAAATATCTTAATTTGGCACCGAAGCGGGAAGGTTCAAAACAGGAAGTCCGCCTTCCGCTTTTTGTATATAGACTGAAGCAAAAACCTTGTAAGCTAAAGCCTGGAAAGTTGTTAAAAAAGTCTAAATTTCCTTCATTTATAACTACTGAAACCCCCTTGGAAGCAGGAGAAAAGGGGGGGGACTTTGTTTAATGCCTGCAGGAGAGGGAGTGAAGAAAGATAAGTTTCCACCGTCTCTAACTTGGGAACGAGGTGTCAGAGACAGAAATTGTTGGAGGGGTTCATTGACTGTGAATGGAATACTTTGACAGATAGCTAAAGAAGAGAAATAAACTGATTCCAATGTTGCCTTTTGCATTCTAAAGAAACAAAATATCTGAAAAATGAAAGTAATTTTCCTTTGTTGGACTTGCCTTAAAAAGATGGATACAAATAGAAATTGTCTCCTCTAGAGGGAGCTTGCTAAATTGTTGCTGCAGTCTACTTGAGGACTCTACAGCTGTGAGATTAAGATCGTGGGACTAGTCCTTTTGACCTTGACTAAATATGAACTGGGAGGAAGTTTTGGTGCTTGCTTTATGCAAGACAAGTGCTTTGTTGGAACAGATGCATGAGAAGATGGATTTGATGAATGAGAAAACGGATTTGATGACTGTTGTGGTCAATAACTGTGGACAAACAGGAAATATTGATACAGAAACCATTCAGGGACCAACTCAGGAACCTGTATTGATTGGGCAAGTACAGAAGATAATGGAGGAGGTTGTGGTTGCACCTCAAATAATACAAATGGAGAGATCCGAGGCCCTGCAGGAGCATAAGCCGCTGTTTTTGAAGATTGAAGTTGGAGTGGGCCAGGGGGAGCCTGGAGCTGAGGAGGTTCTCAACTTTGGAGAGACTTTGAAATATGCTCTTAAATATTTTTTGGACTACATTGATGACTGTGGGGAGTGGGACTGTGGGGAATGGGCTGGTTTGATGAAGGGAGATGGAGATAATTTTGGGTTGGAACCTCCCAGAGACCTACTCCTCAATGAGAAAGGAAAGAAATTAAGAAAGAGACCAATAAAAGACAAGGAAAAGTGCAGGTATAAACAAGAAGAAGAAGATCTGCAGAAGGGACATGGAAGAGACTTAAGGGCCTCGGACATAAGATTACCAGGTTGATGGACTAGATGGAATGGACAGTAAGGACTGACATGACCCGAGACCAGGAAGAAGAGACGTTGGATGAAGATTTGAAGAAAATTTATAAAGAAAATTTTTTATTTAGGGAATTAGCCTAAAATTAATGAATATTAGGGAAAATGTTAGAATGAAACTATATGGCTCTAGTAGAAATGATATCAGGAGTTATGTATAATTGAGTATTAAGTTTCAAGCTCTAAGGTATTTTACGGTAAGATAAGGTTAAATAAATTAAGGTAATTTGAATAACAGAATATGGGGAAAAGATGGAAAGGATTTGTTGAGTTAATTAATAGGTTAAATTGTTAAGATAAATTATTTAATAAAAATTGAGAAAGATGGAAAGAATTTGCTGAAATAACTAATTAAACTAGAATACAAAAAGGGAGGTGTGAGGAGGTCAATGAAACAAGCAAATGGAAGTTAAAGATATGTAATATGGGATTTGTGTCTTTTTTTCTTTTTTTTACCTTTTTGCTGTATTGTTGTATTGGTTTTTATGTTTTGCTTTTTTCCCCTTCTTTTTTATGTATTGTAGTGTTGTTTTTTATTTTTTATTTTTTTTCTGTAATTCTGAAACTATTAATAAATATTATTTTTTTA